CAAAACTCACGTGAGAGCTTCGATATTGAACTTTGAGCCAGCGTCCTTTTGAAAAAAAAAAACGAACTATATGTAGTGGTGGTTAAAGGGACCCTCCCACCTTCAAAAATGTTAATGAATTGGCATGAAAGTGATGTCGCTCGGTTCAGAAAGAGCGAAAACGAATATCTACCAAATTTCATCGAAAAATATTCACCGGTTTTCAAGATATTAGACTTTTACTATTGTTTACTTTTTGGGATCTCCGCTGTTCCTAGCGACTTTATTTGAAAGTGCGGCATTTGTTGCGCGCAAAGCAGCATATACCACCGCGTGCTACCAAACGTTTTAGTAAAAGATTTAAAAATCGTTAGATCTCCGCTGACGTCACAAATTCTAAGGGGGCACACCAATGCATTAGCCCCTTAGAATCCGAAAACTGCAAGTTTGAAATTCCATATCTCCGAATTAAAGCATTTTTCGATGTTGTGAGTGCCCAAACCGGTATTTTCAGGCCATGGCCACCAATTTGGCTATCTCAACTCAAAACTAATGTTAAGGTGGGATGGTCACTTTAACTCCCGACGAAATAGCCGACGGGGCCCTCCTTGATGACCTGACCAGACCCGACCTACCCGAATTTTTTTGCTACATCATCTTTGATTAAAACAAATGCAAAATTGGAAGTCAGGAGCAAAAAAGCCTCCATTAAACCTCACTTGAAGAAATGGTAGCAGGACCAGATGTCCCGTGCATTTGGATCACAAGCCCGGCCTATAACGTTAATCTAAAAATTTATCCTATCGGCTTTCTCTCGTCACGAGCAGAACGCTAATAATTTCCTTTTCCGTGAGGCTCTATAGTTCTATCAGAGGCCGAACGACTGGGGGTTTCTACGCCCCCCCCCCCCCAATACGTAAGACGCTGAAAAAGTGCCAAAACGGGCGATGGTTAAATATCTATTGGCGTTTAAGTGCCGAAACACGAAATTTTCCTCCGATAGCAGTTTCTTACAGACCATCGAGCTAAAATACAATAACTACTTGCACAACATAAACATCAATTAAAATAAATCTATATTGGGAGAAGCCGCTCTGGATTGAGGAGCTATTGAGAAGCTTAGTTGCACAAAAAAGTAGCTGGCTTGAACTCTACTGCTCGCGGTTCGAACTGTTCTAGATGTGGCTGTGACACTATTCGCTACATCTCGTGACGATCAGCATTATGTTCCATTAGTTTTCGTTAAGCTATAGCTTAAAAAGGAGAGAATTCGTGAGTGGGTTCAAAACAACCCTCACTTGCCCCCTCCCCGTTGTCTGGAAACATAGGTAACCGAAAGGTTTGGCGATGGTTTATCCAGCTCGTCTGCCGCAATGAGGCCTCGATTCGTTCGGCATGTGGATTCCTGAGCGGTCCTCCCCGGAGGCAAGGTGAAAGGTCATGGCCTGTATCACAAATTTGTACGTTCCTCAGTATGTTTTACAATCTTTCCAGGACCTTGTATACCGTTTTATTACATCCGATAAGCATTGCAATTTCTTGCTCAACAATGACTTTAAAGAAAACTTTATCTTTAACTTATACTGCGGCGTTGGTCGCTTTGCGTACGCCAGCCTTTTTATGATACGGGCCACAGCCACCTCCACTGCGCTGGAGCTCTGGCGTTTTACCCCTCCCCGCTACGGACCGGCCCCCGGGCTAGGTGTGTTAGTACTGAGCGCAAACGCGTGGTAGTCACGTGACTTTCATTCACGTAGAGGGAGCGTAAGCAAGTGGCGATACCAAGGACGAGACCTAGGGAGGCAGCCAGCACAGAAAAATAGCGTAATTTTAGTTTTGGAAGAATATCTATGACGCTAAGAGGAATTATGCATAATCTTCATCCTAGAAGGAAACATGTGTTATTCCTTTATACTTTGCGTTACACTTTCTTTCTCCAATGGCCACCAGCTAGCAAATAATAGGACAATCGTAAGTCGGTAATATATGTGTACATAATTTCAAGTACACAAACGACAAAACAGTGCAATTCAAATCTTTATATCTATATTTCGCAGACGTTTCAACGACAAGGCGTCTTCGTCAGTGCAAATGAAGTGAAACTTAGTACATATGTTTAATTAATTAGCATATTCGATAGCATATTCGATAGGATATTCGACAAATATTCGATAAATTACTATACGTATTCGTTCAATCGTTCACATGAAAATGAAAAAAATTTTCATGTGAACGATTGAACGAATACGTATAGTAATTTATCGAATATTTGTCGAATATCCTATCGAATATGCTATCGAATATGCTAATTAATTAAACATATGTACTAAGTTTCACTTCATTTGCACTGACGAAGACGCCTTGTCGTTGAAACGTCTGCGAAATATAGATATAAAGATTTGAATTGCACTGTTTTGTCGTTTGTGTACTTGAAACAATGTCTTCTTACCAACATATGTGTACATAAGCAACTGCGGGTCCCTGTACACCTTTCGTACTTTGAGCGGCGATAGCGGGATAACGGTGTGGAGCTTCGAGGATCGGTCTTCAGTTCCCGGACCAGAAAGGTGGGGCCTATGCAATGTCAAATTTCATCAAAATGGTGATACTGTCCCTTTAAATGTGGGGGTGTTTGAGGCAAAAAATATTTCCCATAAAATACCTGTGCCTTAGATAGGAATTACTCGCAAGACTAGGTACACTCGGGGGCAGATTGATGTTCTACAACTCTTTATCCACCGGGTTCCTATGGCTCAGCATTGGCAGCAGCCGCCTGGTACCGGTAGACTGTGCCGCTTCACTTACTTGTCAAGCGGCACAGCCTACCCACACCGTATGACACCGGTCTGGGTCGGTGGCTGGAAGGCGATGTGGGCCGCCTGTGACGTCAGCGCAGCGGTGAGGGCCGAGCCCGGAGGCATGGCTCGGGTCGGCGCGGCGCGGCGGCTGGCGAGGGCTGGGGAGTGAGGCGGGGTGGGAGGGTGGGAGCATGGACCATCGCGCGGCTGAGCGAGTGTAGTTAACTTTCGCGTCTCAAGGCGGCAATTATTCTACCTAACAATTGCGCTAAAGCAGTTGTTAAAATATCCTATGCCCAAGACAGCGCCTATCATCATACTTGCCATGAGCATTACGACACACTTAAACGTGGCATTGGGACAGCCGATAGAATTTATATCACACGTGCATCGAGTTGCGGAGCTGCATTGTTTGCAACAGATAAGTATTAAGGCCTTGATTGAACTGTCTATTATTTCGCACAGCAATCGTCCAGAGACGTGGGAACTGCGGTTTTTGGACAGCGCGGCAGCCAACGCCCCAACTTTAAGCAAATCTTACTCTAATGTGTGATCGCAGCCACCAATAACAAACCGTTCCAACAAAATAGTAAATAAGCAAATAAGTCTCGCACCTGGGACGGCTCGAACCGGGGTTCTCCAACCGGTCACCCTACGACGCTATAGCGTGCATCCACTGAGCTACCGAGACCAGCGACTACCCGCCGCGGTCAAACGCGATGAAATGTCACAAAACTGTCATTGGCGGTCAGTGGGTCCATGTCATTTTGTTTTCTGCTACCGAGGACCATTCTCGGTAGCTCGGTGGATGAACGCTCGTATCGTAAGCTGGCCGGTGGGGGAAGCCCGGTTCGAACCCTTCTGAGTGCCCGGCTTTTTGGCTCCTGGTTGGAACGGTTTGTTATTGGTGGCTGCGATCACACATTAGAGGAACAGTAAGATTTGCTTAATGTTGGGGCGTTGGCTGCCGCGCTGTCCAAAAACCGCAGTTCCCACGTCTCTGGACGATTGCTGTGCGAAAAAATAGACACCAATGAGCTCAATCAAGGCCTCAATACTTATCTGTTGTAAACAATGCAGCTCCGCAACTCGATGCACGTGTGATATAAATTCTATCGGCTGTCCCAATGCCACGTTTAAAGGGACCCTCCCACCTTAAAAAAGTTAATGAATTGGCATAAAAGTGGTGTACCGTGAATCAGAAAGAGCGAAAATGAACATCTACCAAATTTCACCGAAAAATATTCACCCGTTTTTGAAATATAAGACTTTTATTTGATAACGCGCGGTCAATGGGCTTGATGACGTCATCAGAGTCCGTTAGTGTTAAGAGATAGGGACTACGCTGGTCCCACCCTGCAAGTAAAGGGAAGAAATTTCTTGAACACTATAAAGCTGCGGGGGTTGCGACCAGGATAAATGGTGGTTTCTGAGCCTGGCCGCAAACTTGGCTATCTCAACTCAAAACTAATGTTAAGGTGGGAGGGTCCCTTTAAGTGTGTCGTAATGCTCATGGCAAGTATGATGATAGGCGCTGTCTTGGGCATAAAATATTTTAACAACTGCTTTAGCGCAATTGTTAGGCAGAATAATTGCCGCCTTGAGACGCGAACGTTAACTACACTCGTTCAGCCGCGCGATGGTCCATGCTCCCACCCTCCCACCCCGCCTCACTCCCCAGCCCTCGCCAGCCGCCGCGCCGCGCCGACCCGAGCCATGCCTCCGGGCTCGGCCCTCACCGCTGCGCTGACGTCACAGGCGGCCCACATCGCCTTCCAGCCACCGACCCAGACCGGTGTCATACGGTGTGGGTAGGCTGTGCCGCTTGACAAGTAAGTGAAGCGGAGCAGTCTACCGGTACCAGGCGGCTGCTGCCAATGCTGAGCCATAGGAACCCGGTGGATAAAGAGTTGCAGAACATCAATCTGCCCCCGAGTGTACTAGAAATGGGTGATTTGGGGATGGAGGCACGGCCCTATGCCCCCCTCCCTCCCTCAGATCCACTAGTGCACATAATAATACAACAGGATTGCAAAAAAGGATTGCAGATTTGATCACAATCCAAGTGAAAAAAGGGGATTGCGGGTAGGAATGCAATCCACTTCGGCACTAGGAATGTGGATTGGGAATGCAATCCTTTCAAAAAGGATTTTATCGATGCCTGCCTGTCACCTGTGTAGAGTACGCAACTCCGACAACATAATTGCACGCGAATCTCCGTACCTGTGAGAACCACGGTGTGCGCCACGCCGGCGTCAATCTGCTCAGCCGTGCCGCCGTTCCACTGAGTGACCTGGTCAAAGGTCATCTCCGTGTGACCCAGACCAAGCTGGCCGTCCTGGTTCAGACCGAACGCAAACAGCTTACCGTCCTCTGCGTGCGAGCGACCCGGAGTCAAAGGTCAGCGACCCGGAGCCAAAGGTCAGCGACCCGGGGTCAAAGGTCAGCGACCCAGGGTCAGAGGTCAGCAAACCGGGGTCAAAGGCCAGCGTGCCGCTAAACAACAAGGAGACGATGCGTTTAGGCACAACTCTAAGCATGTAATTGCAGTGCATTAGCTGACGTGCTTTTTATTCCATAGTGCTCATACGCGTCACACTTTTTAACCATCGCGCTGCACCGCTGCAGAGAGAATACATATATTTCGAGTCGCAGCATGTGTTGCCAGAAGGTTATTCAACGTCCATGTCGTACTGCTGCTCTTATACCCACTGCTGCCAAATTTGAGAGGGATAAACTATGCATAAATAGTGGTGGATATATAAGTACTACGGCCTAAGGCCTCGGCCGGCTCACCTGTCCCAATGACGGTGTGAGATTTCCCACAGCCCACCGCACTGCACAGCTCCGACTTCAGAGCTGAAAATGAACCACACAAATATTAACAATGTCAAAATATGTCATTGCTTGCGTTTCATGGATTGGCCGCTGATGTACCAAATCGTCAATATTTCCGACCTAGCGCTAACAAGCTGTTTTGTTGCATGGCTTATCAGACACTGATGTGCCAATTAACTCCTAGAAGGTAAACATCAGCCGACTGTCCATCTGGATCAGTGAAAAACGTTTCACGATAAAACGGTGAAATCAGATTTATTCCGTAGCAATCACATTTCGCCGATACTTCAATACAGTTCAAGCCCCGGGACTTCGATACAATCCTACCCCATGGGACCGTCATCAACTCGCTGGGGCCCGCTGGGATCAGCTGGGACGAGACTGACCTTTGACACAGCTGGGTCGTGTCACCGACTTGGTGTGTCCGAGACCGAGCTGTCCGAACTCGTTGGAGCCGAACGAGAACACGCGGTGAGACGCTGGAAACGGAGAGTGGCGTGCCGTCAGGGAGCCAGGAATCTCACACGGGACAGTCGAGGTATGTCGGGTACTGATGGAATGTTCCCATGATCTGCTTATATGTCGTCCGCTGTTGTGAAGCCTTGGAGGGCTTGCTTAACCCGCGCCCCACTGGGGTCTGCGTATAACACGCCCTACTGGGGGGGGGGGGGGCTATTCATAGCCCCCCCCCCTCCTAACTCCGAAACTACTGGGCCGATCGTCAAAATTCAAACGGCGTCTGATAGCCCCGGAAAAACTGTCGAGCGAAACCTAATTTTATTGACCTCGAGGTCACTGATGACGTCACAGGTCAGGTCAAAGTAAAAATTATTAGCATTTTTGCTTCTTCACGTTTTGGGCTCTGGCCGCCGTCTTACAAATCAGATCAGGCTCATTTTTGGTTCACACACTCGTGAACAGATGCTCTAGATACTCTGAGGGTACCAAACTTGTATTTTGATTTTCAGGTCAAGGTCAGGTCATCACATGTCACGAAAATATTATATCATCCGTCGGTCACGTGACACATGTTTTATGGTCCATTTAGGCCAAACATTTCGAATTTGATGTCGTCTGTGTCATGCGAGGTCATTTTGAGTCAAATTTAGCTTAGGTCAGGTCACTTTCAGGTCAAAAAAGGTCAAATTTTGAAGTTAAAATTTTCCAACAAAAAAGGTGTCTATTCGATGCAGTTTGAGCTCAGGAACACGATGGTGCTATTTATATTGGCGTATGATGTCAAATTCGTGCTGAAAAATTGATTTGAAAAATTAATAATTGTTAATTTTTTGCAATAATGCGTATAACTTGGCCATTTTTGAAGATATTTAGCTAAAACTTGCTAGAGGTAGTCATAATAATGCGTTCTATCACATATATTCCGGTTTTTTCGAAAAGTCAAAAACTTTTTGAAAAAAAATGTAAAAATATAAATTTTGAATTTTATTATTTAAAATTTTCGAAATTTTCAAAATTTCGAAAATCCGAGATAGCAGTTTGATAGCGCAGTCTATTCTGAGTCCTCTCATGCAAAGAAATTGGATCTAGCTTAAAAACTGAGCTCTTGGGAGCGATTGCCGTGGTTCAATGTTTTGCGTCGAAATCGGCCGAACATGACGTCACTCTGACGTCATTTTCGGCCGACCTATGGTAGGTACGAAGTTCAACTTTTGACACAAGGTGTCAAATTGATTCAGCCGAAGGTACTGAAAGTTTGGCGTCGATACGTCAAGCGGTTTGGAAGTTATTGCAGAAAAACGGGAGGGGGGCTATAAATAGCCCCCCCCCCCCAGTGGGGCGCGGGTTAATTTTGATTGCAACTTGCAATGAATAAATAGTTAGGCTCACCAGTAGTTCGCTATCGGCACGACTAACTGCAGCAGATAAGCGACAGTCATTCTCTTCATTTTGTCCCCACAGTTCGGTACATCATGTCCACCCTCCCAGCGCGGCACGAGAAGCCCTCCCCGCTGCCCGTCAGTTTCTCAGGGCGACGTCCTTACCGGCGATAACGACAGTGTGCTCATCTCCGCAGGCGCAGGCAATGATCGGGTCGTTCTTGATCCAGAACCGCGACGCCTGGTTCTCGTTGAAGCGGCTGCGGCCGAAGGTGAGCACGGCGCCCGTCTCTGAGAGGGCAGGAGAGGTCACGACGGTCAGCAAAGAACTAGACGTTAGTAGAGAGGTCACCGAAGCTAACAGATTGAGATAGTGGATCTGGGTAAGCAGAGGCCAACGTTAGTCACCAGAGGACAAAGAGGGTCAGCACAGTCACAAATCCAGCGGACCAATGATGGAGATCAGACGACTCAGCATATCTTAGAAGAAGACTTAGTCAAAATAGGTAGACAAATGTTGGTGAAGGCAAAAATTGCAGCTCCCAAGAAATGGTCCAGAAGACGGAGAAGAATGTATTGAAGCGACGGGACAAACCTATCAAATGCCGTCGTTCTCAAAGGCACGATCTTCGAGGTTTCACATAAGGTCAGATAATTTAAAGAACAGGTGCGAACTTGCCGATAAGTGATTTATAAGCACTCGCCTTCCTTGGACCACATTGGAAAAGCTAGCTTGAAGGAAAAACAAGCTAAAGTACGAAAGTATGCGGTCCGTACGGTAAGCTCAGTTCGGTGGAACTGAAGATAATTGGACTCATTCCTCGCGGCTGTCAGATTGACCTGACAGGTTCTCGCCATCCTAACACCAGGGTCGGGAGGAGGACAAAGGTTCTGTCAGGGCTGTCGGACTGTCCTGGCAGGTGCTCGTGACCCTAAATGCAGGGTGAGGTCGGTGAGGTGAAGGATGTCGGGCTGTCGGACTGACCTGGCAGCTCCTCGTGGTCGGCCATGGCGCAGCGGCTGCGGTCCGCGGCCGCGTGCTGCTGCCGTCCAGGTCGACTGTAAGGCGCCGTATGCACGCCGTGACGCTCCATCGATCCTCGCTCGCTGCCGCCCGTCCCCCGTCCCCAGTCTGTGCAGGTGTGCCGCCAGTGGCGGGGTCCAGGCGCGCCGGCCGCTGGTCGATCACAGCGGCGTATAATAACCACAGCCGAGGGACCGAGCGGCGCGAGGAGCGAGTATAGGGGCCATAAGCGACCTATCCGCTCTGCAGAAAACTGAATGGACTGAGAATAGGCTGGCAGCGCCTATTTGGCAATCAACTTTGGGTTAGAATTGAAAATGAGTTTTTCTGCATTACTGATGCTTGGCGATTGATGTGTAGCCAATGAAAATATATTTTATGAACGTAGGGGAACACCGCCCTTTGGGGAACACCGCCCACCCCGATATCAGAAATATAAAAAGGTCTAGGGCGACAGCTGACTGTCTTTTGGCAGCGTAACGTCAACAGAAGTGCAGGTATGGGTAGTGCACCGCATTGGTTTAGGTGATTTGCGAGAAATTCCTAATTTTACGTTCCTTTAATACGTTTTATACTTTTCTAGCAAAATAAGCAGAAGAAAACTTATCTTATTTGACAGATCTAGTCCTGAAGGCTGAAGTAGTATTTTTTGCCATAATTAGGACTGCCGACTGATCCAAGCATACGTGCTCCTGCTCGAGCGAAATTTTTGTCGTGCTGCCATATTGAAGGATTTTGTTAGAAAAATGGAGACACTTGGGTAACACCGCCCACTTGGGAAATTTGGTATTTAATCGCACATTGTGACACCAAACCCAAGAGTGGCGCATTTCAAATTAACCCGCGCCCCACTAGGGGGGGGGGGCTATTTATAGCCCCCCTCCCGTTTTTCTGCAATAACTTCCAAACCGCTTGACTTATCGATGCCAAACTTTCAGTACCTTCGGCTGCATCAATTTGACACCTTGTGTCAAAATTTGAACTTCGTACCTACCATAGGTCGGCCGGAAATGACGTCAGAGTGACGTCATGTTCGGCCAATTTCGACGCAAAACATTGAACCACGGCAATCGCTCCCAAGAGCTCAGTTTTTAAGCTAGATCCAATTTCTTTGCATGAGAGGACTCAAAATAGACTGCGCTATCAAACTGCCATCTCGGATTTTCGAAATTCTGAAAATTTCGAAAATTGTATATAATTAAATTAAAAATTTATATTTTTACATTTAAAAAAATGTCTTTTCGAAAAAACCGGAATATATGTGATAGAACGCATTATTATGACTAACTCTAGCAAGTTTTAGCTAAATATCTTCAAAAATGGCCAAGTTATACGCATTATTGCAAAAAAGTAACAATAATTTATTTTTCAAATCAATTTTTCAGCACGAATTTGACATCGTACACCAATATAAATAGCACCATCGTGTTTCTAAGCTCAAACTGCATCCAATAGACACCTTTTTTGTTGAAAAATTTTAACTTCAAAATTTGACCTTTTTTGACCTGAAAGTGACCTGACCTAAGCTAAATTTGACTCAAAATGACCTCGAATGACACAGACGACATCAAATTCGAAATGTTTGGCCTAAATGGACCATAAAACATGTGTCACGTGACCGACGGATGATATAATATTTTCGTGACCTGTGATGACCTGACCTTGACCTGAAAATCAAAGTACAAGTTTGGTACCCTCAGAGTATCTAGAGCATCTGTTCACGAGTGTGTGAACCAAAAATGAGCCTGATCTGACTTGTAAGACGGCGGCCAGAGCCCAAAACGTGAAGAAGCAAAAATGCTAATAATTTTTACTTTGACCTGACCTGTGACGTCATCGGTGACCTCGAGGTCAATGAAATTAGGTTTCACTCGTCAGTTTTTCCGGGGCTATCAGACGCCGTTTGAATTTCGACGATCGGCCCAGTAGTTTCGGAGTTAGGAGGGGGGGGGGGCTATGAATAGCCCCCCCCAGTAGGGCGTGTTATACGCAGACCCCAGTGGGGCGCGGGTTAAGAAAGAACGTTGTTGCTATGTCTTCTTTTTCGCGGATGATGCAAAATTTCGAAAAAAAAAATGAAATTTTGAGACTTTAAGTCGTCTAATAATATAAATGAGTGCTACATTGTACTACATTGTACAAGAGATATAATAAAATCGTTCCCATTTCATTTTATAGATATGCTAAAATGCCTCGAAATTTACGATAAGATGAACAACTTAATAGTCCAGTATCCTGCGAATTTCGTTGCCTGCTGAGCCCGGGCAGTGTTACCCAACGGTCGGTGTTACCCCGAAAAATGTAGACATTTACTAAATGTGGAATAATGCAATTATGGACGACACTACAAGAAAACAACTGGCTGATATGTAAGTAAAATTGATGCGACAATCCAGTGAAACTGAGAGATTGGTCATTTGGCCAAGAAATACGTGACTAGACCTTAAAAGGTTAAGGGGGTCGGTGTTCCCCCATCTTCCCCTAAATATAAAAAAGTAATACCTACGTTCTGGCTCGTAACATAAACGTGCGTCACCCTTCCGCTGCTCCGGAATGTTTATTTTTCACGGATAAACTTTTTAGAGCCCTTATGTACATACCTATACAATCGGTCGCCGGTATCTGATCCACTTGATATGATCGGTAGCTTTGTGGGGGGTGAATCATCCAATCCAATCACTCGACAGACGGCCGTATCAGTTGTGAGGCAGCTTGTAGAGGCCAAGGCATCAAGTGTAGTGCGGTAATCTCCCCCCCCCCCTCCCAACTAACCTCAAACGCCTACTTAGAGATACATACTGTCAGCGCATATATGTAAGCCCTCGACGTAGCTTTTAGCCCACCAGGGAACAGTGGGCATTCTTCAGTATGAAATTGATAGGTACCGTAGGTATTAAGCGCACGAAGTGCAAGGAATGCAATCGCACCATGAATATCGCGACACGGATAAACATTCGCGCTATCGCGTCATCGCTCAAAATCGCAACGAACATGTAACTGCATTCGGAGAAACTGCGCGCTTGTCAGTGGCCGTCTAGCGGCTGCACTAAGCACACCCTGCTTCCGTTCCGTGCATTATCCCATATCACTCGCTGTGGACATCGTTAGAACTTCCATCAGACTGCACTGCCTATCCGTCCATGCGATGGGCTGGGTCCGAGTTTGCGGCGCTGTGCTGCTGACTGCCCTGATCGCCCGGTCAGAGGCAGTCTTTCAGTCTGACGTCGACTGTCGCCAGTCAAATTGTGAGTTCCATGTCAAGGAGGAGTGCAACAACTCTACCACTGTCACCTGCAATCTGCGGAATTGGCCAAACAAACAGGTAAGATCTAGTTGGTGCTCATGAAGACCTCAAGACTGCCCATTGTCCAAGAGGGAGGCCAGGGCTTAGTAGATTATTCCTTCCCGACTGTTGCGAATGTTGCGAACACGCCGGCGTCTTAGTCAAGAGTATATTGCCGAACATGGTGGGTGAGAGGTGGCACCACTCGGGAGCCACCTAGCGGCGACCTTACGAACGTGTGCCGAGGTCAACGGCAGGGCTGCCAGCTGGGCTGTCATTTTAAAGGGACCCTCCCACCTTAACATTAGATTTGAGTTGAGATAGCCAAAATGGGGTCCCTGGCTAAAAATTACCGGTTTCGGCACTCACAACATCGAGAAATGCCTTAAATCGGAAATATTGAATTTCAAAATTGCAGCATTTTGATTCAGAGGGGCTAATGCATAGGAATACCCCTCTGAATGTGTGACGTCATCGCAGATATCTAACGATTTTTAAATGTTTGACTAAAACGTTTTGTAGCACGCGGTGGTATATGCTGCTTTGCGCGCAACAAATGCCGCACTTTCAAATAAAGTCGCTAGGAACAGCGGAGATCCCAAAAAGTAAACAAAAGTAAAAGTCTAATATCTTGAAAACCAGTGAATATTTTTCGATGAAATTTGGTAGATATTCGTTTTTGCTCTTCCTGAACCGAGCGACATCACTTTCATGCCAATTCATTAACTTTTTTGAAGGTGGGAGGGTCCCTTTAACCCTCGCCGGCCGAGGGGGGGGGGCGTGTGCCGCCCCCCATAGGTTTTTTTTCCGCGCGGGTAGCTCCGAACACGCTAGGGATATAGAGAGCTGAAACTTGGCATACCTGACCTTTGATTCAAGCTGGATCTTTTGAAACCAACCGCAGATATTCGGAGATATTGGCAAAAAACCTAAGGGGGGGGCGTAATAACGCCCCCCTCCCCCAGCATGGCGCGGGCTAATGGGAGAAAATTGAAATGCTCTTCTTTTGAACGAAAACACCCTCAAACATCTGGGTACAGGTAAATATGACACATGTAATCGGAAAATTTCACTCGTGACGTGACCCCTTTTATGTTACTGAGGCCATGAAAGGTCTTCAGTAGTTTTTGGACAATAACTTTTGATAGGGATATGGTAGAGCAATGAAACACCTTATATAAGTATTTTCCTTCTGAACAATACGGATCGACTAATATGCAATATGACCATTCCCGGTTAGGTGATGACCTTCACCTTTGGTCAAATTCTCAAAATGCTCTTTAATGTCAAATTCTAGTTCATTTGACTAGTCTCGAAAAAATGGAACACGATGCCGGTTAAACTAATCTCGTGCAGGTCTGAACCAAAAGGTATTACAGGTAAACGTCCACCGCGCGAATACGTATATTTTACGGCTAAAACGTTTACCTACCTTAGGTCCAATCTGAGATAATTAATGAGAAAGAGCATAAAACGAGGTATCGATTGCGCTTTGCTGCGGCGCTGTAGCTCAATCTCTTTCTGAATCCTGACTTATGCGCCGCTTTGTCGAAAAATGCCAAAATCGGCGAAATTTGATTTTCGGTTGTCTCTGGTGACATGACCTTCGACCAGTTCGACCTAACCTTGCTGTAATTTGTAAAGTACTAAATTGTAACCTGTCAGCAATGGTTTAAGTAGTTTTGCAAAAGTTTTTGACGCTCTTTCGAACGCCGCCTATTGCGGGTCTCAACGTGGCCCACAAGCTGAGTTAGAAGTGGGTGTTCAAACACCCCCAGCAGGTTCAATTTAAAAAAAAAACGCATACGCTGGAGGCGGCACCGCACTGCTAGGCGGGGGTGGTATCGCAATAATGGGCGGCGCTGTGCTGAGACGCACCACTTGCATTGAGGGGTGGCAGTGTACGGTGAAAGGGCAGCGTCGCATTGAGGGGCGGTATCGCAACGAGGGGTGGCACTAAAGAGGCTGCCTTATAAGAAACGCTAGGCACATCCTAGCCCAGCTCGGCGCCGCCTGGCTGCTGCATCTTCAAAAGGGCCCTTGGTGTCGATGAGAGAGCCCCACTGTCAAATAATTACCTAGCGTCAGTGGTTTCTGAGGGGGGGGGGGAGCGCTAAGATCTTGAATGGGGCGGGGCGACTGAAGTCTCCATTCAGATGGGCGTCAGTGACTACTGGAGGGCGTCAACGAACTCGGCAAGGCCTCGTCTAACATGTTAACTGGGGGGGGGGGGGCAAACCCCCGCAGTCACCGGCCTGGCCCCCCAGTCAGGGTAAAAATGTCACCACTGGGGGGCCGGCAAAAGCGAAAAGGCAAGCGAATTTTTACTGCAAGGCGTCAGTGCACATAAAAACAAATGCGTAAACGAAACGTGGATGCAATGTGAGCACATTGATATACCCTATTACCTCTGACTGTTTTTACGTGTTTATTTTGTTTACCTGATGCCATTGTTTTTTTTTTTTTCGCTCAGCAATACGTTACATTTCGGGTTTTCAGGCGACCTAACTCCATGTCCCGCATATTCGCTTTCACGTATTCTGTTGTTCCTGCCCTCGGGGCGTCAATCTGTTTTTCTACCGTTTCTACCTATATCGCCGTCCTCACTACGCGACGTTGAACTTCTGGCTGGACGGTCACCGGTGTGCGGCAAGAGTATCTCCTAATAATAATGAAGCAGGCTCCCATTCTGGGTGATCGTAAGCTCAGCCTGGAGGTCTGTCTCTGGGGACGGGAAAGACTAATGTGGGCTACCAGAGGCCGACGTGGGTCCAGAAGTTGGCATTGGCCATCAGAGCTTGGCACCTGACGCTCATAATTCGGCGGGACCCATTAGAAACCGATGTGGTTCGCAAAAAAATATGCGTTCGTAATAAATTGCTAAGATAAGGTCAATGTTCAGGTCATTCGAGAGTATCAATTATTCAATTGTCCATTTCGCTCGATTATTCTCAGAAAATATTTGATTTCGACGTTTTAACTCTACCTTGCACGAACAGAGGAGCAGAAGCGCAAACAAATAAGTGATGGCTCCCTTATAGCCATAACGGGAGCAAGATTCTTAGATAAACGGAAAGAAGTCGTTAAATTTGAACTCCGACGAACAAGCATTCATGAGAGGCTGACATCGTAAACAAATGACCGACTTAAAAAGGTGTAGCAGGTCCAAAACTAAGGTTTCATTCTTTGTGTGCTTATTACTGTCTGGTGGGGCAATGTGACGGGGTTATAACTAATGCAAAGGCATGGGTCGGATGGTCTACTATTTTTATTTATCTAGTGTTAAAAAAGTTTATCAGGTTTCAGGGCTGTGATGAGAAATAAGAGGCCTAAATCTGGTGAGAAAACATGATTTGGGGGTATCCTAGGTTTGGCTCCTTAAGTCTCTGCCCCCCCCCCCCCCAGTGAAAATCTCTTAGACGAGGCCCTGGAACTCGGATAGGGCGAATGTGATCTTCAGAAGGCCACCGGGTGATCTAGAGGAGTGTAATGCTTGTATGGGGTCACTGCTGCCTTCAGTAGGGCGTCGGACGCTCTGAAGGGGCGCCATTGATCTCGGATGGTCCGACTGTTATTTTCAGAGGGACACCAGTGGTTTCAGAGGGGCGCCATTGATCTAGGATGGGGCGAATGAAGTCCCTGTTCCGGTGGGCGCCAGTGGCTCTTGAGGGGCGCCAGCGACCTCGGATTGATGGGGCGACTGTAATCTTTAGAAGAGCGTTGAGGGGCGCCATTAAGGGCATGGATGGGGCCGCTGTTGCCTTCAGCAGGACGCCGGACGCTCTAGAGTCTAGAGGGGCGCCTTGAGCTTGGGTGGGGCGACTGTAGTCTCAAGGGGCGTTGTCTCGGATGGGGCGAATATGATTTTCAGAGGGGTGCCGGGTGCGAAGGGCGCCATTGGTTTCAGAGGGTTGCCATCGATCTTAAGATGGGGCAGCTGTGATCTCCGTTTAGATGAGCGCCAGTGACTTTTGAGGGGCGCCAGCGACCTCGGATGAGGACGACTGTGATCTTCAGAAGCGCACCGGACGCTCTGGAGGGGCGTCATTGGTCTTGAATGGGGCGACTTCAGTCTCAAGGGGGGGGGGGCGCTAGTGGCTCTCTTGAGGGCGCTATTGATCTTGGATAGGGCGACCGTGATCTTGAGAAGAATGCAGGTGCTTTAGAGGGGCGCCAGTGGTTTCAGGGGGCGCCATCGATCTTGGATGGGGCCGAATGGGGCAACTGTGAACTTCAGAGGAGCGCCATCAACCTTTAATGGGGCGACTGTTCCGTTCAGGTGGGTGCCAGCGGCTCTTCAGGGGCGCCATCGACCCTGGGGGTTCGGAATATTCTGGTTTCCGGAGGGGCGCCCTTCAACATTGGCGGGGGGGGCTCAGGTCCTATTTGGGGGTGCCCTGGAGGACATAGGGGTGTCCAGGCACCCCCAAAGAGATCTTGAGTTCGATCCCTGCCTGCACATCACTTTTTAAGTTATGTTCCCTTTGTAAGACAGCATCAGCCTAGTCGGCGCTAATTGGGGCGCAATCTGGGCGGCTGGGCGGAAAGGGGGGGGGCATGGCCCCCATGGACCCCCCCCCCTGAATACGCCACTTTCGTCATCGGCATATGATAAGCAGCGTACTTGATATCCAACGGTGACCCAAAACAGCAACATTTTTTAGTTTGACCTGACCTGGAAGGTCAATGACTGACCTGAGAAGGTAAAACTGGGTAGCATTGGATTCGTCTCTTCCCAAAGAATCTTTTTGGTCTTTACCGCTAAGCTCTATCTCCAACAGGAACGAAATGGCGCGGAGGGGGTGGCAACCCCCCCACCATGTGCGTTCTAGGATGGGAAAATGGCATGTGCGGGCGAGGGTTAAGGGCGAAACGACAAAGGGGGTCGTACCCGCCCCTCGCCGGTATGAAGTGATGCTTTTGAAGGCTGTTGGCTAAATGAGCTCACGATTTCAATTATAACTTGCCAGAGACAACTAACCCTGATTCACTTTTCTTTCAGGTGAAGCTGACCGCAACATCATTTCCGGAGTATGTCGCCGATATAACTATAAGCAACGTCGAGGAGCTGCTAATTGAAGGAGACACCATCGCAGCCTTGGACTCCCTGAAGAACATCAAGTTCACCAACATTGACACGCTGACTCTTTTGCCCCGCTCCATGGCTCGAGTCAATCAGTTGCGCTCGATATCGGTAGACATTAGTAAAGTAAAGAGCCTAGAGGTACACAAAGAGGCATTTTCTCAGTGGGGAAACTCTCAGTCACGGGTCTCTATTGCGGATGTAGATAACTGCCAGATGCTTCATGCGGCTGTAAAGTTCACAAAACTAAGTGCTCTATTTTTCCATAACGTAACTAACCTGAGCATTGGTAGTGGCGCCTTCAGTGAAAGTTCTATAGGTGAGATCAGGATAGCGGAGGCCAGATCTGTTTCCATCTCCTCCGGAGCATTTACATCCAACGTCACCGCTGAAAGAATGATTACGATAGACGTCGATACCCTCATTTTGGATCCGGAGGCATTGTCACAGTCGTCAACGATTCAGGAAGCAGTTATAGAGCGGGTGCACAGCCTGCGAATTGCCCCAGGTGGAATCGAGGCGGACATCGACATGCTGACTATTAGAGATGCTACCATGACAACTTGCGAGGAAAACACATTTGGGGGCATGATCAAATCAATGTCATTGTCTTACTTTCACATCAATAACTCATTAGCCAACTGTATTTCGGCAGATACGGGATGGAAGAAACTAATTGTGGACAACTGTTATTTCGCAAAAATCGAGCCACTCGCTATCCACGGATCCATTGAACAAGTCGAAATCAAGCAGAGCTTCTTCGGAGTCATTGAAGGAGGAGGCTTAACACTGAATACAACGGGGTTCTCCGTCCAAAGAAACACTTTTGAAGACCTGTCAGATAGGGCACTTGAAGTGCATGCCACAAGGTGGATCAATTTGACGCAATGCACCATCAATGTGCTGAGAAAGGATGCCTTCAGCTCGCTTAACTTGGAAGGAGGTGCTAAAAACCCAGTCAGAATGGAGAACTTTGAGGTCAAGACCCCCGAAAACGGTTCAATGCACTTCGCTCGGGAAGAAAGTATCCTGATATTAAGATTGAAACTCCATATTCCATGCACTTGCACTTTGGAAGATATGGAAGCAGTAGGTCTGGTCGACATGGGGAAACTAAATGACGCTCGAAGACGGAGACAGAGCCTATTGTTGTATCAAGTTCGTTGTAAGAGTGACAGTACCTGGTCCACTTTAGGAGAGTATCACCTAGAATTCTGCCCACATACCACCACCACTACCACCACTACCACCACCTCCACGACGATGAGACCCTCCACTTCTATGAGGCCAAGCACCACTTTGGTTACAGACACCTCTGTGAGACACGCCGCCACCCTGAAGCATGGTACTTATACCAGTCTCCCAGCCGAGACTGTAGATGGGTATCGTGAGGAATCAGAGTCCGGCTAAACGCATGTTGCCGCCATTTCCAGCGCGTGGGTCGCCTTGCTGATAATTGGAATTCTTCTTACAATTCAAATGTTCATAATTATTTCATGCATTTTGCAACGCTGGAAACACATGCGATCGGCGGGGAGTGAAACGGGCAACACGAGCAGCGAAGCGACCCAAATTCGCAAAAGGACAAGTCCCCGAGCGTATGAAGACCCCGTGCCCTCACAGCGTCTGTTACACCCTACGCGCGATCTCACACTCACTCGGAACGTTGGCACGATGACTGTCAGCGCGCTCAGCCAGGCACCCGATAGGAGAGTCCGATACAGCCCGGCCAGCACCAGATCCGTCCGGTCCTTCACCAGCTGTGACACGGACTCGGGGAGGAGCTCGGTGAACGTCTGCCTCCTGCCCCTGACGGTACACTCTCCGGTCGAAGAGCTCCAGGGACAGACGCACAGGGGTATAAGCATGCAGATGCCCGGCTACTGCTCAGTGACCCGCCCTCGAGCCGCCCCCGGCCGGGCCGACGACAGGCGCCGCCACCAGCGCAGCAACAGCGAAACCAGCGACTCGGAGGAGAGGCGACGCCCGCTGCCCGGGTACCCCATGAATCGGCGCAAGGACCCGCGCATTCAGCGACTGGCGCGTGATCCACGCTGGGCACGTGGGGAGTACCTCTCCGAGATGCAGTTTTAAGATTGTGTTCATTTTTGTTTTGTTTCAATCACGGTAGGGGAAACTTGAGTAGCTAAGAATACTGAATAGGCATAAGTATTAAGTATGTTGAATAGTGAAATTGTAATGCGTGATCAGCGATAAGTACCTTCACATGACTGTAAAGCACTTGAAAATCAAGCTATTCTTAGTCATATAGGCATGTAAATGATCCGGGGTGGGATGCACTGCGGTACAGTCTGCCCTCCCGGCGCGGCGCTTCGTGTATTGCGGCGCAGTCTAAGCACAGTCAAGTCCGCGACATTGAACGGCGTCTCGACGTCGTGAGAGCGAACGAACGGGTAATTCCGCAGCGTCTCGATGCGATTCCGCGTATTTTGTTGCTGATGCCAATGCAAATACAGAATGCAATATCGACGCTCAGCCGAGACGAGATTGGTGAATACATTTCGGCCTGCACTCCCGACTCTCGTTCATTTCGGATACACAAGAGCCACTGGTCGCTCTAAGTTATCGCCATCAGTCCCCCCATCAGTTTACGTCACCAGCCAGTCGTACCGTCAGTTCGGTATCAGTTGTCCAGCCCCGACACCAGCTGCTCAGTGACCCAGCCAGTCGACCTGAGCCAGCCAGATCCAGAGCCAACCAGAGCCAGTCGACCTGAGCCAGCCGGCTGACACGTCCGCCCGTCCGGCCACTGCCGACCGACTGACTGCGCAGCACCAGACTGACAGTCACGCTGGCAGTTGGCACTCGATCTGATGGGTGCTTCTGTCAGGGCTGAGTGCGGACCGATGCTGCCAGGCGGGGCGGGGGGGGGGGGGGGCAGGGAATGGGAGGCGGCCTTTTCAGGTCAATACTGAATGCGGTTTATTATGGTTATTGCACAATGCACATGCGTAGCCGTCCTTGTTCTAGGCTATGTAATCGTGCCGAAGGGGCTATCATCTTGAAGTGCTGCCTACGTGTAAAACTACGATGAGTGTAAAACTGCAATACATATTACTAACTGCTTCGGTTAGCTGGAAGTGACAAAAAAAAGTTTCGGATGAAGAGGTTTATTTCACATCGGAGTAAGTACCATTTAGGAAATACCAGGGTTGAACACATATCACCATACATTGCTCATCGAGCAATATTACACGCAGAAGGACACCAATTATCAGCACGCTTCATGACTTATATTTAGAAAGGAATCAGAAGATGGGAGACACAAAAATAGCCGAAAAAAGGCATCGAATAATGAATTCTAGCGCCAACTAACCACACGAGTTTTACAAATGAGAACGCAACAATCAACTATGCACAAACTGGCAGTGCCGAGACAGAGATTGTAAACGAAACAATGCTCACACATCTATGTAGAGAAAAATTCATTGAAGCCCTTCCGAAAATCAGGGCAACAGACATCCTGGTATTGGATAAGCGAACACGAAACATCAGACAACCATCAGGGAATAAACAGCCCACGCAGCGCACCACTCATGGCACAGGGGACACCAGCACACAGCAGTCAGCACCAGCGCCTAACTGGGTAACGCGACCTCCTCGCTGGCCCACTTGAGGAACGTCTCGCTCTCCTCCTCCGTAAAGTACTTCCTCCAGTTGCCGGCGGCGTCCTCCTGCTCGAAGGCGTCGCCGCCGCCGGCCACGGTGCCGGCCTGCTCCCAGTGGTGGTAGTTGGAACCGGGGTCGGCGCGCATCACGTCAGTGCTCGTCTGGCGGACGATCTCGTCCACCTGCCGGTCGGTGACGGGCCGCTCGAGGAACTCGGCCACGCGGCGCACCACGGCCGCCCGCTCCGTCTGCAGCTGCTCGTAGGTGATGCAGAGCACGGTGGCCGCGTGCCGCTGGTAGCCGCGCACGTGCTCGCGGTACGGCCCGTACGTCACCTCGCCGCGCGTGAAGCTGTCGCGGAACTCGGTGAACGAGCCGCTGTACAGGTGCGGCCCGAACCGGCGCGAGAAGTGGTAGTAGGAGACGCAGACGTCGCGCGGGTCGCGGCTGACGTAGAGCAGCTTGGCGCCGCTGGAGAGCACGCCGCTGGGCAGCAGGTGGTAGGGCAGGTGGGTGCGGATCATACGCGGGTCGGCCACCTCCTCCAGCGGCACTGTGGCCATGAACGTGTTCTCGGGCGGCGCGTCCAGCAGCGGGAACCGGTGCTGCTGCGGCACCGCGCTGGCGCCGGAGCCGGCCGACGACTGGCCGCCCGTCACCAGCCGCCACACGAGCTCCTGCAGCCACGAGCCGCCCGACTGCGGAAAGCTGGCCACCACCACGTCCGTAGGTCGGCCGACGAACTGGGCCCAGTGCTGCGGGCAGCCGAACTCCAGGTGCAGGTTGGTTAGTACCGTGTTCCGGTAGCGGCAGTGGCGCAGCAGGGCCTTCTCGTAGGTGGCGTCGGCCGGCAGCGTCTCCCACTCGTCCGGCGGGTGAAGCGTAGACATCGCGGCCTCCTGATGAGTCCCGGGGGCACTTCTGAACTCTCACCAGCCACGCGTCTCCCAAGCAGAGCTACACAAAGCCTCAGCGCCGTCCACCGACCCGGCTCTCACCGACAAAAAGCGCAGCACCTGCGAGATAAAAAGCCAACTTCCCTGGGTATGTGCGCTCCGTGCGGAGCCCGACTCTCACAAACTAGCACAATATCCGGGCACACCCGCGCCGAACCCCGGCTGGAATCCGCTCCTCTCCAGTCCACCAGCTCTCCCAGAATAGTCGGCTCACACCGGGACGTCTCCACACGCAGACTGCGGCACTCGCGAGCTCTCGCTGTGCGTCCACGATGGGACAGGGTCGATAACTGGTTGCAGTTCGCCGTCCGGGCGCGAGCGGCCGCGCCGGCAGCGCCAGAATGCCCGCCAGGCGGCGCCGCGGCGCCCGCCAGGGGCGGTGCCAGCAACTTCTGGAGTATAGACCGGGGTCGGCATGTGTGCAATACACCAGTGACGGACTCACAGCACACTTGGTCAGAGGCGGCGCCAGGATGGCAGAAGGGAGGGTATAAGACCTCGAGGCACATCCAGGACGGAGGTGGCTGTGAGCGGCCGATGAGCACCTCCAGTCTGGTCCGATCCGGTCTTCGGATAGGCGAGGCCGCAGGGGGAGGGAGCTGACGCCGCCATTGTTCGCCGCTACCGGCCCTGCCCGTCGCGTGATCTGATTTCGATAGAGCTACTCTGGACAATCCAGAACAATGACACGATGCACAGTAGATTGCATGTTTCGCAATACTGCGCACATACCAAAAAACTCGACCAAGCGATCCTGCCTGTCCACCGGGCTATACAATTGGCCGGCAAACAGGCACGGATGACGCAAAGGAGACACTTCTGAGCTCGTTGTTTATGGATAGACGGCGGCACTGGCGTCGCAACCACAGCCGGATTGGCAATACATAAACATCACTTAGTTGCTCAATACTCGGCGCAGCATGAGAGTTACTGGTGACTGATATTTACATTCCCCCTGCATGGCACACCATATCAGATGATTGTCGGGATGCCTACAGTACATTAGTTGCAGCCGCCTCAGTGGCTGGTAACGCTGGCATGCCTTGTGCGACGTCCACAGGCCGGACGAAATGCTGTTTTTGCTCGCTTACCGCCAACCACCAATCCATTTTTGTGCCCCATGTGGGCTTTGTAATTAAATTGGAGGAGTGTTGGAACGGCAGACAATTGCATTTTATCACTTACTAGCCCACGATTCACGAACCATCGATGAAATATCACTTGCTGCAAGCTGTACCACGTTGTATAGGTTTTTGTTCACAGTATGCTAGTATTTAGTAACATACGAAACAAATGATTTATAACCTAATAGGGAGGTCATCGCTCAGCGACCTATCAGATCGAGCAGCAACTTGACGAGCTCGCCGCTAACTTTTCAGTCATTGGTTTTGATGAGGATTGCGAATCGTTGCTACAAAACTGACGTGAACAAGGCATGCTTGGAAGATAGTAATAACCGCGATGACAGTGTGTGGGATAGCCAAGGCGTGGTTTAGAAAGCAAACACTCGTACAACTTGAGGAACAAAAGCATGTTTGCCTTGCTGGGAGACAGAACACCTACAAGGCGTTTCTAATTATGCTGGACAACACAAAACAACCTCGATCATAACAAGGTGGGTGGCAATTAAGACAGTGCTCATGCGAGCAAAAATACGTGATCATCACCGAAGTACACCCCTGGCAAAGGCCTGCTCCCGATGTCACACGAATGGATAGGCACGAGCGGCTACCGGGCGATGAGCCATTCAAAGCCGATAACCGATATACAGCAGGCCCATCACGACTAAGATAGCCGCACTCTAAGCTCGGGGCTCCTGTTTTCTGATGCCCTGCAGTGACGGTGATGTCACGACCTCACCAATCTCCGTGATATCATTTACGTCAGCAGTGAGGCTCGAACGAACTTCGTAGAAAAAAGTCCGCAGATTCAATAGACAATCTCGAATATTATTTATTGCATTATACTTCGAGTTGGCTTTAAGGCAAATACATCTATGGCTACCTTGAATCACAACACGGTCAACACTGAGCATTATTGTCGATTAAGCACAAGTATCAATAAAATAATAAACGATAGTAATCGCTTCAAAGACCTGACTTGGCCAATATTCATTTAAATATTCGTTTACCATACATATACATCACAGCACACCCAATGAATACGAATGCATCGTCTACATTATTCCACGGGTATAAACATTCCAAGAAGCAACTTCTCCCCACACACATCCAGAGTACGGCACACCCGCTACTCACAAGGAACTTCTGTCCGGTCATCATCCGACACTTAGCCACATCACTAATCAGGGAGTAGAGGCAACTCCCGAAAACTTGATGCAACACCCACCGTAAATGATTTCTAGTCAGCCGTAAGGGTTGAACGATCCAGCAGGGTATTTGACGCACGCAGAAGCCCTGCTGGCTGCCAGAATTAGCTCCGAGCCAGGGCGGAGCAGAAGGCTGCACGGACGGCGGGCGGGCGGGCGGTAGTGGTGCTTGATCGGAGGTATGCTAACTGGGGAAGCACGGAGACGAATTAGGAGGTAGCGTTACAAATCCATTAGGCGAGGTTTGTTTAGGTCATACATTGGCTGAGTCCGGCCGCCGACCGGGTAACTTGAGACCGCTGATCCGATGAGGTCAGGTCAAGTCAGGTCAGGTCGGTCAGACCGCTCAGACCCGCAGCTCGGTGGCGTCTGACCCGGTGAGGTCAGGTAGGCTGGGTCGGTCGGTTGGACCCGCGGCTCGGTGGCGTCTGACCCGGTGAGGTCAGGTAGGCTGGGTCGGTCGGTTGGACCCGCGGCTCGGTGGCGTCTGACCCGGTCAGGTCAGGTAGGCTGGGTCGGTCGGTTGGACCCGCGGCTCGGTGGCGTCTGACCCGGTCAGGTCAGGTCAGGTCGGGTCGCTGACCGTTCACGGCTCAGCCCGCGGTTCGGTGATGACTGACCCGCTGAGGTGAGGTGAGGCCAGGTTGTGTCGGTTGGACTGTTCACTCGTTTGTCCGCGGCTCGGCGGTGACTCTCAGCCAGCTGGCGGTGAGCGGCGCGCCGCACCGTCCCAGCCGCAGCAGGTCGCCCTCCGCCGTCCTGTACAGGTCACAGGCCGCCTGCAACAGGAGCTCTGTCAGCCGCGCCGCCGCCGCCGCCGCCGCCCCACTGCGACCGCCCCTGGTCACAGAGTGGTCGCTCCCAGACCCCCTCCCCCCCCCCACAGCAGTCCTCTGTCCCACCCTGCACGGCCGGCAGACCTGGCAGCGCGCGGGAGGCACGGCACACTCGTGCCAAGACACCGGCCGAAATAAAGCCGCATGGCAGGAACGCTTCGCCGCCGCCCCCGCCGACCGATCGCGCCGCGTGAGGCATAGTTTCACTTAGCAAAGTCAACAGACATGCCAGTTAAACATCGACGGCTGATGCAAAATCAGAGGATGTCGATTAAGGAGAGATGGTAGTCATTTTATCAAATGTCTTCTCGGATATCAGTCTAGCTTTGTCTTCAAAGCACAGCCGCGAGATATACTGACGGGCGATTAGGCTGTAATGAGGATCCTCCTACGCTGTCATGCTTTACGATATCTTCCAACAGAGTCATATATAAACGCGACACAAATTCTTGAAATTCTGTCGGAAACTGACCTCTTCCCAGTAGTGGCAGTTCTCTGCTAGGTACGAAATTATTCACATACGGTAATGCGATGCACTACCACTTACATTACTAACGTACGGTGATGCAACAGTCAGAGAGGCAACAGGAGACTTCACTCAACAAAGTGTATCATAAATATCTGCTGCACAGATATTGTGTACACGAGTGAATGTGTAAATGCCTTATTCAGTGACACTTCGCGACCCACTAACTTTGCCATGGTCTAGGAGCTAAAAACAAAGGCACACAAAAGTAGATAATAAAACTTAAAAGGTAAATAAACCACCACAAAGGAAAAAAGGCAGATGATTATCATAAATATCATGTATTTATACAGTCCACTTGAATATGCCTCTCAGAATCAAGTATGCCCGTTCTGAGCACCCTCACAAGGACCACGGTAGCAGTCCAGGTCACCGATAGTCCGGTAGGTGGACCACTGTGCTCAGGGACCACTGAGCTGGACCATGTCCCGGACCACAGACCAGACCCAGACCAGACCACGGAGCGGACCGCGTCCGGTCTACAGCAGGGGCCTGCCCTGTAACGCGGCGGAGCCGCAGCTGCGCGCCTGTCCTAGCCGAACACACGGGGGCTGCCGGCGGGCGGCGGTCGTCTTACTCCGTCAACTCCCGACCTTATCCACTACTAATCCACTAAGCAGCAGCCGGATCTGAGATACAGAGCACCGACCGAACATCGACTGGCATTGCAGGGAAGGTCCGACAAATGGCGAACGGCTCGCCATGCGCACTCGGCCGCACCGGAAGCTACGGAAGTTCGATAATCCACCGGTATCGCACACTGAACACAAACGCTTGCATCGACTTTACTTGGCGGGCTCGAGGCTAGGAGACCACACACACTGGTATATGAATACTACGATCTACGATACAAGATACAGATTCCTGAGCGTACATCAGAGCACCAAGGTAGATAGTTGGCGAAAAGCGGCTATCTAAGGCAACTTCTGCGCGTTTCGCCCGTGTCAAGGCACTGCCACTCCTCACTACAAGCTCACCGCGGATGGCGGCAGCACTAGAGATCACAGCCCCAACTCGAAGACTGCGTCTGCCCGCGCCCTGCGCACGCTAATCATGAAAGCCAGCCCACAGCCATCCACACCGCTAAACGCGCCCCAGGCAGCACCGACGAGCAGTTAACCAGCCCGTTAACCGGCTCGTCGGCTTGTCTACATACACAGACGCTGCATGCGATCTCGCCGGACCCAAACCCAGCTCTGGTGATATACAGAGCTCGGCCTGATACGACCGGGCTCCCTGAAAGACGCGGCTCGCGCCCAACCGGCGGCTGAGTGTCATAGTTAGCACCCACAGGGCTGAACGAGAGAGAGAGAACCAAACACCACTTCCACCGCACAGGTGCTTTCTGTATGGCTTCCGTTGGTAATGTAAGGCTGCCTTTTAGTACCATCGATGTCCCACTGTTGTACTATTTCTTGTCTGTCAATGTTATGTCTGTGAGAATGCTTGTTTTGTTTTCGCTCCCCGTAAGGCCGTCTCTAAGCTAGCATACAATATATCATATGATAATAGCTACCACCACCTCCCCCTCCGTGCTAACGCGTAGTGGCGGCAGTGGGCCGGGGGCGGGGGCGGGGGCGGGGGCGGCGGGCTCAGCCCTCAGTCACCTGCAGCGGCTGGCCGGCTGCCGCCCACGGCTGCTCCAGGCCCGCCACCAGTTCCGCCACGGTGGCGCGGCTGGCCGCCGACAGCCTCCAGCTGTGTTCGGTACCCGAGCTGGCGTCCTGGAACAGCAGCCGCAGACCGGGCCGGCCGGCCGAGGCGCACCGCAGCAGCTCCTGGGGGAGGAAGGGGAGGGGTTAGATACTGACCGGGCCGGCCGGCCGAGGCGCACCGCAGCAGCTCCTGGGGGAGGAAGGGGAGGGGTTAGATACTGACCGGGCCGGCCGGCCGAGGCGCACCGCAGCAGCTCCTGGGGAGGAACAGACGGGAGGGGTTAGATACTGACCGGGCCGGCCGGCCGAGGCGCACCGCAGCAGCTCCTGGGGGAGGAAGGGGAGGGGTTAGATACTGACCGGGCCGGCCGGCCGGCCGAGGCGCACCGCAGCAGCTCCTGGGAAGGAAGGGGAGGGGTTAGATACGGGCAGGGCGGACGGGAAGGGATAGAATCATAAGCCGGCCGGCAGAGGCCGCAAGGTCCCTTAGAAAATAGCAGCGCTGCATATTTTGAGCAACAGAAGCTAGTCCAATAACAAAGAATATCGTCCATCATGCCATGATTTCTTTCAGTTAGGGAAGTTCCATTCTCCTGTTTTCATCTCCGTATTGCTAAGCAGCCCTCCCGGCATCCCTGACGGAATCTCAGCCAGCTTGTGACGATTAAAATGCAAGAGCACCGTCGCAGCCACCTTGGCACTTGTTCAAAGGTCAGGACCACCCGGTCGCATGCCACGAGCCTTACTCACTAGTGATAGCAGTAATAAGTGACATACACTTCAGCGGTCTCAACGAGCCCCACTCAATGACTGGCAAGGGGCTGCGGCGGAGGCACTTCTCATTTTGTTATAATCTGGACACCGAAACATTTGCATGCATCGTCTGCTACCAACACTCTGATTTCTAGCCCAATGCAGCTGTGATCCTCGATTTACCCTGTGTTTGGAAAAATATGTTAAACACAGCTGATTCGTAGACAGATTTAATAAGCTTTATTTCCCTATAAAGCTACTCATTTGATTAAGGAAAAAATGTCAGTTTCATCCTACCCTAAGATTGCGACGGGGGATAGTTAAACCCATAGCACGTATAACTATTCAACTATACCAGATATTACTGCTGTCCTAGATAAGGGATCGGCGCCAACCCCGGGCCGCCAGTCCTCCGATAACCTTGGCAAAGATTGCCTTTAAATCCCCCGTAAGACCGTAGCTGTTATCGCTTTTGTAGCCATTACCGGCAATCACGTGACCAGAATTCCTAGGGTGGACTTGGAACAGCGAAATATCACGTGACACTTGGTACGGAAGGACCCGTCCTACACTCACAGGCGATGAGTATTCTGCAGGCATTTTAACGATGGATCACGTGACACTGCCACACCGACCGGCCGCCGCTCTGGCAAATAACATCGTCCGGCGGACATAGAACGGACTAATTAACCCCCACTCCTCCCCTCCAACTCCAATAGGGCGCCGGTGAAAGGGACACATCGCGGTCGCCTGATGGGTGTTTTCGCCCTCCCGATCGACCGGGCAGAGAATCCTGGGAGGGGAGGGGGGGGGGGCACTATATTAAAGGGACTATCCCACCTTTAACATGGGGTTTGAGTTGAGATAGCCAAGTTTGCGGCGAGGTTCAGAAACCACTATCTATCTAGGTTGCAACCCCCGCGGCCTCTTGGTGTTGAAGAAATTCGTTCCCTTCATTTGAAAATGGGCCTTGCGCAAGGCCCTATCTTCAACATGGAGCGACCGTTAGTGTGACGTCACCTCGTTTAGTCATTCTGATTTAAATGGGTTTGTTCGTTGAAAAATCGCTTAAAACTTGGTCTGAACTTTGTTGTGGTGCCTACAGAGTAAAAAGAATCAGCTTTATGACAGTACTGTGGCCTGGGGAAGGAGGTAATTTTGGGCTGTGACGTCACATATTTGAAAGTTTGTGTTTGGAATATGGGAAGCCTAAGATGTTTAATGAAAAATAAATGCCAGAACCGTGTTCCTGGTCATCCAATCTATAAAGTCGGGCACAATTTAACTGGTTTTAACAACATTTTAAAAGGTGGGATAGTTCCTTTAAAACAATCCTGGGGAGGCGCAGCAACAAACTGCTTACTGCGGAGCTGTTCATTTGCAATTTGTATCTCTCCCTCTCGTCCTCTTTGTCCTCTCTTTATCTCTCAATCTATCTTTATCTCCCTCCCGCTATTCATCCATGTCCAATGTCCATCTCCCCTCTCCCTCTCTTTCTCTATATACTTTTTCTCATCCCCTCTTTCTCCTTCCTATTCTCTCTCTTCTCTCCCGCATTTCCGTCGGGATTTGGCGAACAGCGAACAGTCGGGGAGACCACCACCCTCCTCCCCATCGATCAATACCGTACGGGGACGTGACCCGATTCAGACGCACGGCGAACACACAGACATAAAGACAGACAGACAGTTAAGGCGACAAACAGGCAGACGGACGGACGGACAGACGGACGGACGGACGGACGGACAGACATACGGACAAACAGACCGACAGCTATACGGACAGACAGACAGACATACGGAAAAACAGACCGACAGTCATGTGGACAGGCAGTTAGGCGAACGACCATAAAGTCAGACATACGGACAAAAAGGCAGACAAGCAGACGGCCATAAAGACAGAGAAGCTAAGCGGTTATCAGTCTGACACGTTGTCATCTCAATTCAAATCTGACGCATACAATCTTATCACAAGTCCACCAAATGACTTGTCATCCGCAAAGTCATGACGAAATTGGCGGTATTGGGAGTGCTCGCCTGACAATATTCTGTCCGAGCCCAAGCCTCTGAGGAATTCCCAGGACGGATCGACATTCTGCTATTAGTGATAATTGACTTAGCTACTTCTCTGTAATGTACTGAATATATGCCGGCCATTGGGATCTGCCTATTGGCGGTATCAGACCACATAGAAACCGAGAGGTATACGACATTCATTAAGGGGAGCTACCAAGTGCGTACCGATCAAATGCACTGGTGCGTCGGGCGTTTGGAAACTTCTATCGGAGGGCGGGGGACGGGGTGTGGGCGGAAGATGGAAAAGTAACGAAAACTGTGACCGTGACGACGGGAAAAACGATGGTGAGACTACGGCTATATGGACCGTGATTAGGACAGCGACAGCGATACTAGAAAATGACTGACAGTGAAGGTGACAGAGACGGGAAGTGATCGAAACAGATTGACATTGACATAGAGGAGGAAAAATCCTCTACTCACCAGTCCTACGATATTGGCCACCTTCTCTCGGTCCCTCATGGGTATTTTGACGTCGCCGTGACCGGGCACCAGCCAGCGCAGGTCACACTCCATCAGCAGAAGGTCGGACGGAGTCATACACAGCATCACCGGTACCGGCTCAGAGTCTGTCGATAGAGAGGAGACAGAGTGAGAGAGATGGAGTGGTAATGAGGGCTGTCTGGTGACCAGGAGGGACAGATCAGGTGTCAGAGGCTATCTCAGAACACTGACAGAACGGCCGGTAATGAGGAGTGTGCCTCCCGCGCGCTTGTTACGGGTTACGGTTCGTTTACCTTTGCTGGGGGCGAGACTGTGTACCAGAGACAGCGGCTAACGAATAAAAAGTAGAGCGAGTCAGCTAAGGCGAAGATCAGAGGCGCGACCGGATCAAAAGAGCAATAGAATCATCGCAGCCAGACGAGGCGCTAATCAAATGCTCGCTCGAGTTAAAAGAGTCAAAGAGTCATTCAACTGAGGTGTCTGTCGAAGGCCCGAAGCTCGGCTGTATGGTGGTCCTTCAGAGCTATAGCAGTAGCACCCGTGAGTCGGACGTTCACCCGTGTGACTCGCCGAGTCAGCGGAGTCAGGACTCACCTGAGTCTACAGAGTCGGACTCGTCGCGCAGTAGCTGCAGAAAGAGTAGCTGCTGCAGTGCCAGGTCGGCACCAGCATCCCCGGAGAGCATGCTCTCCACCTGGAGTCGCTGGGTGGCCTGCCAGCGGTCGGTGGGCGCCGCGCCCGGACACGACCCTGTACAGGAGGCAGTGGGGTCAAACGGCGGGTCACGGGGGTCAGAGGTCATACGGGGGGTGACCGGGATGGTGGCACAGAGCTGAATGGATTTCATATCGTTTGAGGTAACTAGCTTTGGGAGTGGATGTAAGTCACCTTTATAAAACACGGCTCCAGATGAGTGTGTACTATGTTGCGAGTGATAATAAATATGCATACGTGTGGTACCAGGGAAGGTTGATAATGATATAAAGCCTGTGTTGCTGCAAACTCGAGCCGAGGAGAGTGCCGTACCTGTGAGGTGCTGCAGCAGCCGCCGTCCCCTGGCCGCATCCCTGGTTACCACCAGCAGCTGGGTGTTGAGGGACGGCTCTCGGCCCGTCACCTGCAGTGCCAGGCCGTGGCAGTGCAGCAGCGGGCCGATCGAGGTGACCTCGGTCAGCGGCCGGGTCAGACGGGGTCGCAGCCACCGCTCCAGCTGGTCACTGCGGGGGGAGGGGAGGGGTCAGACGGGGTCGCAGCCACCGCTCCAGCTGGTCACTGCGGGGGAAAGGAGGGAGTTAAATTTCCAGCTAGTCACTGCACGGGAGGAGAGGGGGAGTGAATATGTCACAAGAAGCGACGACAGAGGCATTTGGAGACGGGTCTGGGAGTCTGACAAGACCCAAGGACGGAAAATACAGGAGTAATTTTCGGCTATGGAGAAGGCGAAAAAATACGCATTATACACGAATGAAAAGCAGCAGGTGAACATTTCGTTTGGGCAAACATAGCAGTTAAAATATTGACGATATTTCATATAAATATCAACACTCAGATAAGTTAAAAACCCTTATCGACTTTAGCCCCGCATGTAGCGCCGCTAGTCGGATCGGGTTACGCAATACGCACCACCGAGTGCCAAACAAAGCCACAATTACATAACAAACAGTTTTTTTTTGTGGTTCAGAGTTCCGCAAGGCCCGCTAGCCCATTGAACGGACCGCTTTAAAAAGAATCGCATGTTCCAAGCAAGAGCATTTTAGGAAAGAATCGCATGAATGTCATGAGCTGCTATCGCAATGACTGCACGTCGTGCAAAAGGCGTGCGTGGCATAAATTGCTTATTAGGGTGACGTTGAGAGATAGCCAGGACGTGCTCATCAGATATATGAGCCATTATTTTACAATTCTGATGATTTACACCCAATAACTATTCGGATCATACCGTGAAACGTCAGCGCACTCTGACAGCTGCTAGCAAAGTGTGACGGCAGCACGGCTTGCAGTACCAACCACCAACCACAAAATGGCATTTCAAGCCCATTTATAGTTATTTCACTACGGACCGAGTTGGCTTGAAGCCTAACGTTGACGGCGGCGGTTGCAGTCGAGTCAACGTTTGACCATGGTCAGTTAAAGTGGAATTTACGTGTGACAGGGACAGCTTAGAGTGTACCAAATACCTACCAATAGATAACAAAAGCCATAAAACGCCTGGCACTGTCCGGTTTACAGCAGAGAGGATGCAGTGTTCCTGGTAATTCACAAGAAATTCTTCTAAGACAGACTGAAAATGGCTAATGTAGAAAACATAGCCCCGCTAGAGCTTATCAACAAGTCTGTTAGCTTTTACTATCCCCCCCACCCCCCCACACACACACACAACACACATACGAAGTCCGTAGAAGAACATAGAAGATTGATCCAGAATCATGCCCATGCGTCTCGCGTCGACTCGCCTCTCTGGCTCCGGTCAACAAACCACGCGTCAACAGCGTGCGTGCGGCGGACGGACCGGGGATAATTGGCGAGGGTGACGGTCAGGGTCAACCCTTTCACTGAGGACAGGTGCGTCAGGCGGCATACCACCCTCCCTGAGGGCAGGCCCGGGGCTAATCGAGGAGCAGACCATGGCGCTGGGAAACAACAAACACAGAAAGGGGATCAGTTGTGAGGCAGGGTGCGGTGGCAGCGGGCGGTGAGAGGTGAGCGTCGGACGTGTGAAGAGTGAACGCAGGACGTGTGAGAAGGGAACATAGAACGTGTGAGAAGGGAACATCGGGCGTGTGTGAGACACAGGCGGGTGACGAGGCGCCACCATGGTGCCACCACGCGGACTGCCGCTGACCTGCGCGGTACTGCTGGCGGCTGCGGTGGCGGCACGGGCGGCGCGTCCCAAACCGGAGCCGTATCTGGACTGGCTGACTCTGCACCGGACCGACCCCAGCGAGCCCGAGCGGCGCATCCTGGTGACGGTGGTGCCCGACCCGCAACACGACTACGTGCGTCACCCGGTGCCCGGCTCGCCGTGGTCGCCGGCGCCGATCGGCACCGGGCCGCCGCTGCAGCCTGAGGAGCCGACTGAGAGCGAGCCGTCCGACCAGCCGGTCCCGCAGCTGCTCTCCACGCAGCGGCCGCCGCGGCCGGACTCGGAACTGCGCCAGCAGACACCGGCGCTGGGGCCGGACGGCGACCCCCGCCAGCAGACACCGGCACTACAGCCGGACTCTGATCCGCTCCCACAGACCCCGGCGCTGGGCCAGGACTCTGGACTTCGCCAGCAGACACCGGCACTACAGCCGGACTCTGATCCGCTCCAGCAGACCTCAGCACTGCAGCCGGCCGACGAGACCAGTCAGCCGCCGTGGACGCGGGACCTGCCAGCCGAGTGGACCGACCGCTACCCGGTGGCCAGCGCCTACATGGACAGCTACCAGAGCTACACCTCGGAGCCGAGCCGGTCCCTGTCGCAGACGGAGGGCCCGGCGGGAGGGCCTCAGCTATATTCAGCAGAGGAGTGGCAGGACGGCAGCGCGTCCAACTGGCTCACCCACCATCTACCCGTGTCCCGGCCGGTCGTAACTGCCGATACAGATTCCCACCAGATATCCTCCAGCGAGCAACATCAGTCTACAGGACAGTCTCTAACCGACCAGCAACCCCCACCGCAGCACCCCTGGTCACAGCACATGCCGCCTGCCTGGCTTCAGACCCCACTCTTCGATTCTGAAGTCGAATGGCCCATCGAGGCCGACAGATTTGAGCCGGACGATCTCGAACAGCTGGCTGAGCGGCTTCAGGAGATACAGACGCAGGAGCAGGAGAAGGAACAGGAAAAGGAGGGATGGCCAGAGGAGCAACAGAAGTCGCATTACGACCAACAGGAGCGCAAACAACCGGAACAGCAACAGAAGGGGCAGCGAGAGGAACTTCGGGATGAAGACAAAAAACAACACGCAGATGGTGTAGAAGATAGCACACACTACGATTGGTATATCGATGAAGATAAGGAAGAAACTGAATATCAAAACATGAAATATGCGGAAGAAGAACAAGAAGAGGATGAACAAACATCCGACGCGAGCCATTCCTACAAAACACAAGAACAGGACTATCAAGAAGAAATGCGACAGGACGAACAGACAAGCGCGTCAGATGACCAGCATGATCAGATAAGTGAACTAGAAAATGGACAAATCGAGGAGCAGCCAGATGAGGAACAACTCAATGAAGCACAGGAAGGTCAGGATGCCGAGATGCCGTACCACCCGCCTCCGCCACCGCCACCACCAATGTCCCCAGCGCCGGTGTGGCTGCAGCAGTCTGGAATAACGTCCCACGATCTCCTGCTGGAAGGTGAGCGTTATCCAGAGCCGGCCATGATCAGCGCTCCACAGCCAATCAGTTATCTACAGACAACCGTGTCAAGCATTCCAGAGACAACCACACCAATGAAATCAGAGCCAGACAATTCTCCAGAGGTGACAACAACATTCAGGTCAAAGACAACTATACCTAACAGTTCGGACACAATCACTTTTCAAGAGCCAGCCATACCAGATAATCTGGAAACAACTACAGCTAGCAGTTTAGAGTCAATCAGTTCCCAGGATCCAACCACGTCCACCAGTCCGAAGCCAGCTGTAAAGCCGAAGCCAGCTGCGCCCCGCAGTGAGGACACAGCCGCGATGGGAAGCCCGGAAACAATCACGCCCACCGGCCCAAAGGCCACTGTGCTAGGAAGCCCGGAGCCAACCGTTCCCACCAGTCCACAGCAAACTCTTATCAGCACTCCAGAGCCAACCATAGCCACCAGCCAGGAGCCAGCCGCACCAAGCAGTTCAAACCCTACAGCTACCAGCGCTCACAAGTCAAATTCTACCAATGATCTGGAGTCAAACCCCACAAGCATCACGGAGTTACTCGCCACCAGCAGCACAGAGTCAACCGCCGCCAGTGATACGAAGTCAAGCCTCAACAGCAGCTCAGAGTCCAATTCTACCAGCACCCCGGAGTCCCCCGCGCCCAGTCCAACCCGCCGCCCGGGCAGCCGGCCCGGGTCGCTGCTGTCGCGCCTGGTGGGTCCGCTGCTCACCTGGCAGGACCGGCCGTCCGGCCAGCGGCTGCTGAGGTACCTGGCCAACCCACTCAGCTCCGAGCACTGGACCAGCCAGCGCCGGCGCCGCAGCAGTGATCCCCTCGGGAAGCACAGCCCAGGTCAGTCGGGGGTGGGTGGGTGGGGGGCTGACGGGTATTGAAACGATGACAAAGGTCAGTTCGGAGCATGGAAAAGATAATGGGGAGCGTCATGAAACCCTTATGGAAGAAAGAAAATGCATATTTACAGGCTGCCTCATTCGATTGGAATTTGAAGCACATTCAGATGAACCGTCGTGGAACACATCCGCAACTGCAAACCAAAAGCGGGGACCCTTAATTTAATCTCTTGGCTTTGCTATCATTCATCTCTGCCAACCTTTGAATGGGTATTCAAATAACTCCCAGTCTAACTCGAGTACTCCCAAGTCCCAGCGTGCTGCGCTGTGACGTTCATTCTAAAATATGAGCCATTGCCTGACGAGCCCATGATTTATCCACAGATGCTCCGTCGCAGGACGAAGCCAGCACTAAATATGCGAGGGATAGCATCGATGACCTCGGACAACCTGACGTCATAGCTGGGCAATATGACGTCACGGCTGAGTTGTCTGCCATCGAACACGTGTCTGACATCACTCAGGCAATGATGATCTCCACTGAACCATCGACAGCCGAGACAAGCACTACTGAGGCATCGCCAGCTGAGATAAGCTCTACTGAGCCATTCCTTGCGCCTACCAGCTCCACTGAGCCATCTATTGCTCCCACCACCTCTCCTGAGCCATCCATAGCTCCCACCGCCACTACTGAGCCATTCATAGCTTCCACCGAGCCCTCCCTGGCTCCCACTCAGCCATCCTTCGCTCCCACCGCCACCACTGAGCCCTCGTTAGCTCCCACTGAGCCATCACTGGCTCCCACCATCTCTACTGAGTCATCCCTGGCACCAACTACTCCCACTGAGCCCTCCCCGGATCCCACTGAGCCTTCTATGGCTCCCACTGAGCCTTCTATGGCTCCCACTGAGCCTTCTATGGCTCCCACTGAGCCTTCTCTAGCTCCCACTGAGCCATCCCTAGCTCCCATTGCGCCCTCCCTGGCTCCCACCGCCTCCACTGAGACACCCCCGGCTCCTACTGAACCATCTCTGGCTCTCACCGAGCCCTCCCTGGCTCCCATCGAGCCATCCATAGCTCCTACTGCGCCCTCCTTGGCTCCCACCGAGCCATCCATAGCTCCCACCGAGCCCTCCCTGGCTATCACCTCCTCTACTGAGCCACCCCTGGCTCCCACCGAGCCACCCTCCCTGGCTCCTAGTGAGCCCACCCTGGCTCCCACCGAGCCACCCCCAGCTCCCACCGCCTCCACTGACCCCGACTCGCTACAGTCGGAGGTGGTGGAGGCGTCCGGACCGGGCGGCCCACCTCCCCCGGCCCGCTGCGGCGTCACCTCTGACCAGCCGACTCGGATAGTCGGCGGCGCGCCGGCCGCCCCCGACCGCTGGCCCTGGATGGCCGCCCTGCTAGTGCGCGTACCCTGGTACGGCTCATGGGTCAACTGCGGAGGGGCGCTCATCAGCGGACGGCACGTGCTCACCGCCGCGCACTGTCTGTACAGGTTAGTCAGGGACGGGGTTACCGCCGCGCACTGTATCTACAGTGTATAATGTATATGCGCACTGTATGTACAGTGTGACTGACATATGCATAGGTCAGTCAGAAGAAGGGACGGGGCTAGTTCGGGGCAAGCTGGCTCCCGCCACCCGCAATACTCAACTTTTATCGACAACAACACCACGTGTTTTATCTATTGCACTAACGTCAGCTAGCAACTCAGTCGGCGTCATTCCAACAGACCGCTGACGCCGCATACAGCGTTTGCCTTTATTATGCATTATACGGCGCTCCCGTGCATTTCCTGTATCTTTGGTCGCTGTCCTGCAAAGTCAGCAATCTTATACCAAACCACTCCTTCCGTTCCTACGTCCCAAGCAAAGGCACTTCTTCACACTCCCATTTGTAAACCCATCCTGGCCTCTTGTATTCACACTTCCCTCCCCACCTATCCTCCCCCCTATCACCTCATTACCCCGGTGTATAATATCTGTCCACACCTCAGTGCATGACTCCCCGCTCCATTATACCCGCAGCATCACCCGCCCGTCGTCTCTGCGTTCCCTGGTGGTTCGTCTGGGAGAGTACCGTCTCTACACGGCCGCGGACGGGCCCCACCTGGACCTCACACCCGTCTCCATCACCATCCACCCGGCCTACGAGCACTACAGCCAGCGCTTCGACTTTGGCATCGTGACGCTGCCGTACGACGTCACGGTGCACACAGCGGCGAACAGCGGTCTGGCGGAGGACCTGCTGCCCATCTGCCTGCCGACGGCAGACGGAGAGTTCGTCGGACAGAACGGCACCATTCTAGGTGCGTGGGACATAGGGGCGCGCACACGGGAAGAGACGCCAACATGGCACCATCCTAGCTGGGTAGGACGGCACACAGGGACAGTGGAGAGGCGTCTAGAGAAGCAGAGGCCTTATGCGGTACGAGTTGGCTACTTATCTGGTTGTCGATGTGTACACAAATCTGCCAGATTTCCATTCAAGAACTGCAGCTGCTTTATGATTTAGTTGTCATTCCATGTTCTCTTTTAAAAATAATTCACATAATTGATTCATGAACATGCCATTTCCAGGGCATCATTGATGAAACAAGGCAGACACCATGACCCCTCCCTCCATCAACAAAATTCGTATTTGTTCACCCTTTAAAACTAAAGGGCGCGTCAACCACGGTACCCCATCTTCTCCCTACAGACTCCCGCTGACCCCTCCCCTCCACCAGGCTGAAGGAACAACATATTTCCACTGACCCTCCCCTTCCCATCCACCAGGCTGGGGTAACCTATACGAGTCTGGCTACCAGAGCTCAATCCTACACGAGGTGACGGTGCCCATCTGGAACCAGACCGCCTGTCAGCACGCCTATAGGGAGGACTCATGGGGAGTCGGACCGGACGCCTTCTGCGCCGGACTACCCCACGGAGGCAAGGACTCGTGCCAGGTGAGACATAGCGAGGCAAAGACTCGTGTCAGGTGAGACATAGCGAGGCAAAGACTCGTGTCAGGTGAGACATAGCGAGGCAAAGACTCGTGTCAGGTGAGACATAGCGAGGCAAAGACTCGTGCCAGGTGAGACATTTGGGGGCTAGGAGTCGTGTCAGGTGAGACATGGAAGGGAGGAAAAGACTCGTGTCAGGTGAGACATATTAGGGGAAAGGGCTCGTAGTCGTAACCAGCAGGTAATCCAGAATATTTTCGCAGTAGAGTCGTCCGCTGCCCATTTCGTTTCGTTGATCCATTGTTAGCAACAACCAAGTAACTAACTATAAACCGTGAATAACACTGGAGTGACACAGTTCGCTCTACGAACCGATCAATACCCCTAGGGACCTCCGCCTCATCTGACGTCCCCCCCTCTACCTCCCAGGGAGACAGCGGCGGTCCGCTGATGGTCCGCGCTGGTCCGGACCAGCTGTGGACCGTGGCCGGTCTGGTCAGCTGGGGAGAAGGCTGCGCCCGGCCAGAGTTCCCCGGAGTCTACTCGAACGTGGCCGCCGCCCGTGACTGGATCGACTCGGTGCTGGAGCACCACGAGTGAGCGCGACTCGTAAAGGTCTCGTGACGGTCGCCGTGACTCGTGAAGGCGGTTGTGACTCGCGATGGCGGTCGCTACTCGTGATGCGGTAGTTACTCGTGAACCACGGTCGTAGCTCGGACACTCGTGCGATGGTTGTCGTTATCGGAGATTCATGAGTCGTGGCAGCTTCTGGTGTATAGGACGGCAGCAATTCTCTCTATCGGTCTCTCAACAGTCGTTTATAACTTTATAAGCCGGGCACGGTATCCACCAGGGCATCATACCACACACGGTGGATAACGGGGGGATAAGTGGGAGTGCTGGGACCGAGTGGCGGCCGAGTCTGCTCACCTGTCGTCGCCGGTAATCTCCAGCAGGTGGAGGGTGGACGAGGTGACCACCAGGACACACTCCTGCTGCTGGTACTGGGGCTCCAGCGCGCACGTCACCTGCCAAACGGGAGAGAAGCAGTGTAACAGTCAGAGGTGTTCACTCGTGGGCATACAAATAAATGGAAACCTGCACAACATGCTTGGTGAATGGATACCTGAAACAGTGCTTAAGCTGACAGACAGCCTTCCCTACAATTGCATTAAAAAAAAACGGTAAAAATAAATACGAATCCAATGTCGCCAAACTACTTAACCGCTTTCCTTATAGAAAACTCCATTTCCTCCCTCCTTCTCAGCTAGCCCAAGCCCCGATAACAGTCCTGGGAGGCACATCTTCTCCCGCGGCAGCGAGACACCCACCTTGGAGACGCACACGACCTGTTCGTCATCATCCAGCACGTTCATGTCCAGGTGAAGCTGCAGCCGGTGATCGAGACGCGTCGGCTCGTCGTGCCAGAACCGCACACAGCCCGATCCGACCTCCTCCACAGAGTCGGACTCTGACTCGGACTCCGAGTCGCCGCCGCGCCGCCAGCTCTCCAGCAGCGCCTGAGAGCAGCGACTATCGTTCGGTGCGGCCGCGGCGGACTGATGGCCACTTTCCCGCGAGGTGGCACTAGTGTCGAGCGGCGAGATGGCGCTAGTGTTGATGGGCGAGATGGCGCTGCAGTCGAGGGCGTCGCTGGCGGCCGATTCGGGCGTCAGGGTGCAGCTGAGGTCGGCGACATCCGAGGCCGGCGCGGGCGCGGGTGGCGGCGGGTGAGGCGCGGCGCAGACCCTCTTGTCCCGCACAGTGCAGACGCTGGCGGTCATGGAACCTGGGGGAGGGTAGCGGGGTTAGAGGCTAGGTCATCGAAGAGCGTTCATTCATATTGCATAATGCCGGCATCAACTGCAGAGGGAAAGTTACTGGATTGCTACCAAACGACGTTTCGGTAGGCAACAAAACATGCTCCACTGCTGTCTGGTCACTTAACTCGACCCAGCGCTGCTGGTCGCAAACCGTCAATAGAACAGCCAATCGAAAAAGGTAGCGCAGTCTATTATTGAAATTTAAGCCAAACTATTTCGATGACGTCCCACAACACGACCCATAGCAGAATGAAATTCAACCATCAAATGGCAATCCACTTTACGGGTTATCAAATGCTTTGGGCGGTAGACCCTAATATGTGGAGAGGGTCGGATCACGAGGAGAGGGTCGTTAGTTATGTAAGAAGCGTGATCAAACGCCAATGCAATGTCACAAACTCATGAACACAACACAAATATTTTACGCTTTCACTCCCTCCTCCACTTGGGGCAGGTAAAAGACGAGGAAAGCCTTAAGAAAGTAGCACGCCAGGTAGCTAAAACCACGCCACAGGCACACGCCAGACCGGGTGCCCGCATACTGGTTTGTTAGTAACACCTGGGTAATGGGTTAGCTCCCGCGACCGTGCCTGGCGCTAGGAATCTGGGACTGGGTTAGAACGAGCCCCGGCTGACCTACCGATGAGACGCGGGGCGCCTGCGGGCACACCGGGGGTGTGTGGTCAGCCAGGGAGACGGTGTGGCACTGGACGGACTGAACTGACACAGCACGTGGTCAGCACCGCTCGTAAACCCAGCCACCGCCATCCAGGGGACGGCCCCAGCCCTCCACAACACTCAGTGTTTTGTACCCATGATTGCAGCTCAATTATAGACCACGTACGGATAACTACTGTACACCAGGGACCTCCCAACACCCCACCCTCTCCACACCGACATACATCACCGTGACCCAGCTCCCGGCTTCGGCACCTAGCCTCACCTGACGAGCTGCTCTCCTCCATGGGCGGCTCGGCAGCACGGACGGCGCCGCCCGGGGCTGCAGATCGGCCGGCGGCGGCCGCCTCCCGACCTTCTGCCACCGGGCGGGTGTGCGCCTCCTCAGTCTCGCTCCTACACGGGATGTGTGCGGTTAGAGCCACAGCCATGATACTGCAGGGCCCAATCTCACCAAGTGCAGTAAACTCGTTTGGGGTAGCGGTAAGTTACCGCACCGAAATAACCCCAAGCAAATAATCCAGTCTCACCAACCCAAACGACCCCATGCTGTAATTTACCGCATTTTTTGCAAATCCTGCAAAAGAACCCCATTTGTCGACGCTTCGGATTGGTGGAAAAGCTGCTGATCACGCCGGCGCGATAAAAAGAACGCAATTGTTTTGTCGCCATGGCAACGATAGCGTGTTTCTTCTTTCCAAGCGGCGCCTCAGTTTCCAAGACTCACGGGCGACATCTACATGCTGTTTTGGGTACTGCAAATAGGAAGCATAGGTAGCGCAGGCTGCAACAAAAAATAATCTTAAAAAAGAAACTTATTTCTTTTATTTCTTATAAAGTTCTTATTACATCTTTAATTGTTGATTCTTGCTCACAATTGGTATAAAATTTAGAGATTACGGCACAAATGTCTGCGGTAATTTTGGTCCGACATTTGGGGGCAATCAGCTGATTGTTTGGTTTGTTTACTTGCTTTCGGGCCGTGAGCAGCTGCGCACATGAAGAATTTGCGGTAAAACCGAAGCTATCCCATGGGGTTATTTCGATGCGGTAACTTCAAAAATTACGGCAGTGGTGAGATTCGTTTTGGGGTAGTTTACCGCAAAATGAGTTTACCGCACTTGGTGAGATTGGGCCCAGTGGTGTTGAACCAGCCAGTAAGGTATGTTTGTCACTGACGAGCGTCTCGATTTGTGTTTCGATTACACAAAAAGCCATACCTAATTCAACTTCAGCGAACAAAAAGCAGTAACGATCGGCACAAGAAAAGGGAAACTCTTAACGCCATCAAAACAAAGCCATCACATTTTTCACAAAACGTCACGAACTTCCCCTCCGTTCTGTATTCATCTCCCAGGCACAATCCCTTCCCTAACCTTCCCCTGCCCTTTGCCTATCACCACCCCTCAGCCCGCCATCCCAACCAACCCCCTCTCCACCGTCACAAAAAGACCTTACACCACGACCCCAGTCCTCACCGTGTCGTCGAGTCCATGATGACGTCGATGCTGCTCTCGCTGGGATTGCTGATCACCTCCACATCGCTGTCGGACCGCACGGGCACCGAGTCGGCCCTCTCCGGGGTGGTGTGCCCCGTCTGGCGGCCACCCGGGCGTACCACAGGCTCCGGCTCGGGCGTCACCACTGTGGAGACGGACGCGGGGAGGGGTCAGTGAGGCGTTAAAGCACAGAGCCGTCTGCGGCATCTGTGTAATACATGTAGTAGATGACACGACAGTTTAGGGTCAACTAAAAGCGCTGCTTTACTTTTCATGAATACTAGGTAGTGCAAAGTTATACTGCCTCATAATTGGTTCCTTCTGTCAAGAAACGTCTAAGCACTACATCCACTCCAGACTACAATCAATGTCAGAGCAACCTGCACAAACACATCCTCGGTGGCAACTCCCAAGGCACTTCTGGCATGCCGAATATCTGACATGCAAAGACTGGATATCTGGACAGACCTCACATCCTAGCGACACCCGACAGGACTATGCCCGCTCTAACCTGAGACGGACGAGTCGGTGCCAGTCGCTGGCCGGGTGTGGTTGGAGGAGGTCTCTGAGCTGACGTGCTCGGCGTCCGCCGCCTCCGCGCCAGTCGGAGTCGAGCCCAGCAGGGCGGCTGGTGGGGCACGGACAGTCCACGGTCACAGAGAGGGAGATGTGGGGACAATATCGGCTATTGCGACTGCAGAACTGATGCTTGATTTTTTGCAGGGTTTAATTAGATGCAATGTCTCCCAGACATCAATATGAAAGCTGAGAGGATTGAAAGTGCATTACAGTTACGTCACATCCAACATCATCTATCTTACTATTTAAACAGGATCCATCTGTTTGTTTGTTTGTCTGTCCGCCACGCCGTGTAGTGGGTTCAATTTAGCCGGCCTACAGGGCAGACGGTATATCGTAGGGGGTTGAAATTTGCACACCTTATAGGTGACAGAGCGGGTCAGCGCCTTTTCTGGGTTCCGACTCGCTGGGGTGCACGGTTCGCGCGTGGGGCGCGCTGGAAGAACGCCAATGAAATTTTGCTCGGTTCGTAGATCTTCATTGAGAGCCGGGGTCGACAAACTTTGTGAGTTAAATGCATGACGATCGGTGGCGGGTGCCTCGCATTGGCGGATCGGCAATTAGTTATTAATTTGAATAAAAAGTGGCGAAAAATGTGTTGATTGTTGCTAAATGGGTGCAGTTTTCATAAGTATTTACAAATGCACCGCGTTTGCCGCAATGCGTCACATTTGTCCCAAGGCTCCATCTTCGTTGCAAATTGCACAGTTTTGTCAAATATAGTCCGATATGGGTGCAATTTGGTGCCAAGATGCATGCTCGAACGAAAGGTACAGATGCGCCGCGTTTGCCGCAATGCGCCACATATGCCACAAAGCGCCATTTCCGACAAAATCGAGTAAGGGCAATGGAATGGCACGAATTATTATGTGACCTTACATGACCCAGCGGTGTTGGTAGGGGTAGGGGTATGGGGTAGTGGTAGGGGTAGTGGTAGGGGTAGTGTAGTGGTAGGGGTAGGGGTAGGGGTAGTGGTAGGAGTAGTAGTAGGGGTAGGGGTAGTGGTAGGGGTAGGAGTATGGGTAGTAGTAGTGGTAGGGGTAGATGTAGTGGTAGGGGTAGGGGTAGGGGTAGGGGTAGGGGTAGTGGTAGGGGTAGTGGTAGGGGTAGTGGTAGGGGTAGTGGTAGGGGTAGTGGTAGGGGTAGTGGTAGGGGTAGTGGTAGGGGTAGTGGTAGGGTAGGGGTAGTGGTAGGGGTAGTGGTAGGGGTAGGGGTAGTGGTGGAGACAAAAGCAGAACAGTGGCCCGGGCTGATCCCAGCGGACGAGAGGTGACCTATGTGACCTGGCCTGACCCAAAGTGACCGGGGCTGACCCCTTTGACCCGTCTTGACCCCGTATCACCCAAATTTCATCCAACAACGCCCTCAGAACAGTTCTTTTTTAAATTATCTTCACATTTCCGTCCATATCTATGCTTCTAGACGACACATCGACATGAATCAAACACCATTCGAAAGCAAATTGGCTGGTGCCGCAATTTTTCCTACCACGCAGCAAAGCAAGTGGCGCAGCCGCTTGTCTATATTACTATTTGAGGAGGGTGCGTCTGTCCGTTACCGAGGTCCCGACTTGGTGGTGCTTTGCGTGGACTACAGGCCAGACCGTTGCACCTAGCCCGGTGAAATTTGTACAACTTATAGATCAAAGATGCGCGACGTGCCTTTGAGGGGTCTCAGCTCGATCGGATTGGTAGGGAGCGCGTGGCACGTGCTCAAAAAGTGCAAATTCGCGTCATAGACTTTACATGTATAAATCGGCGTGCGAAATCGGGCGAAAACGGCTAATTTTGGCCGACACGGGTCCAGTCCCCGTGCAATATCTCGGTAACCGTGGGCCGGATCGGCACGGGGAAAACAGCATCATGTAGATAATTGAACGGGTTATCGAATGATATGCAGTACAGGGGATGGCACGTGCCACGTGCACCCGTGAGGGTACTTTGATTGAAAAATTGCGGTTTTTGACGGATTTTGGAATTGATTTTATTTTTAGGTGACCATTAAACGGAGCGAGTTGGAACAGCGCCTGTTGGCAAGAGAAATGTACCGCCTCTCATGGGAAAATTGTGAAAAGCTGATTGATCCAAATCAAGGTGGTACAAATCACGGGAGAAAATGGTGTTTGTCTATTTTGTGCCACTTTATTAATCACACGGGTTTTGCTCAATGCTCTGATATTTCTGGCAATAAAAATGGCACCGATGGAAAGAGCATTCAATTCTGTCCAAGGTTCAGTCTTTATTTTTGCATGATGAGCAACAGTATTCTTAAAAATGTAAATGTTCCAAATCATTACATTGTCATTTTTAGCGAAATTCATCGATGGCCCTCAAAAGACTTCACGCCAGTTTTCGAATCATTCTTAAGTAGAACGCATGATAATACGAAACGGGCACCTCGATGCGATGGATCTTTTTTGTTTCACTACAAAATGTTTGGCCGTCAAAAAGCAATCGAACGAAGTGGATACCAACCAAATCGACACAGACCAACCCAATACCCACGGGTCTAAATTAACCCTTCTTCGCGTTGCGGAGCACGCGGGTAACCCTAGTGACAACCATTTAATCAACAAGAATCAGGGGAAAATACCAAATATGGGCGTCAATGCACTTGGCCTACGCTGACCGCTTCAATAACCCTTGCCCTTTGTATGTACGTACAGCCCACCGCTAAAGTAATGTGTGGTTTTACCAATCTCAACGGATGGCTTTGACCGACGATTTTTAAATGCGGACTGATTGAAAAGAAGACATAAATAGATAAAGTTGTAGCTGCAAGGGTGAAGATACATGTAAGCTACATTTAAAGTCTCGTTGCAGTCTGGCTAATCGTTCCTAGGCTTCAGAAGCAGAACATACCCATGACTGAAACCACACATTACTTCTGCTGTGGACTGTACCTTCGGCTTTCTCATCCATCATATGTCGCGGTGTGCTGGCCACTAGCTTCTTGCTGCTGAGCCGCTTCTTCAGCGGCGGCCTCTTGGGAACCACCTTCCTGAAAAAGCAGACAGTCACATGACTCCCAGGTTACCGCGCTGGTGAAAGGCGTACAGTTATGACAGCAACAAGCTTTTCCAGTAAGGGATACACGGAACATAACACACGATAAAACCTTCATCGGATTATAGTTAACACAATGTCCCAATGCATTTCAAACTTGTTCTGGCATTTGTAAATAAAAGTCTACATCGCTAGTGCCTGAACGCGAATAGACGTTTACTTGCAAATGGTTATAATTCCTTCTCATCATAACCAATATAGCTGTGGTTGCAGTAATCTTGGTTGCATTGATTGCACTGACCTCCCCAGCCCCACACCCGATGGTTTCTGTCCCTCCTACCCCGACCGCGCCCTATTCAAACTCACGGCAGCGATCCGGGCGACGGAGCCACCTCGGCGTTAGGGTGCGACACCCTCTCAGCGCGGATGATCATGTTGGAGCCGCAGTTGGGACACGTCTGCACGTGCTTCGTTCGTCCTGGCGGCAGACGAGGTTAAAACATAAAATCAAGGTAAGAGATAGGTAAGTGTTGGGCGCCGGGTTAAAATGGAAGCACCTGGAAAAATTAAACCAGAGTACTTTTCACGAAATTTCATTTACCATTTAGAACCCCTTACACGAATCAATATCACAAGCCCTCCGTCACTCGCGTCGCAAAAATCACGGTTACCACGTCCTACCCTACAGCTGCCGGGCATTCTTATACATATTTCGCCAGTATCTGATGACAACGAAATATCCACTAAGTGAAGGTTCCGTCCTTCCGACCCAACAGTTCACCAATCCCACAACGTTACCTTTCGTCCCATAACCCTCCTACCAGCTTAAATATTCCCGAAAGTTGTAAGTCTACCATCCTCTCCCTTCTCGTAGTCTATCACCGTAACTTTCTCTGTTCCTTCACCCAGCGCCCCGCCCCCGACTGACCCGCCTTTACGTCTCGGTGGGCGGCCGTCGTCTTGGCCAAGGCGTCTGAGAACTCGGCGGCGCATTTCATACACTGGAGGGCGTTAGCGGCCAGCTCAGAGGCCAGCCGCGCCTCGATGATGGGAAGCAGCGCTGAGCTCAGCTCCTGTGGACCGATAGGGGCGGTCAGGGACGGTAAAAGGTGGTGTGGGGAGGTCGGGGACGGTAAAGGTGGTGTGGGGAGGTCAGGGACGGTAAAGGTGGTGTGGGGAGGTCAAGGAAAGTCAGGGGAGGTACTCAAAGGCGATCAGGGCAGTCATGGATCACCAGGGACGGTCAGGGACGGCGACATATTTGTTTTCAATTTGACTACACGCATCTTGTGTAATCAGTCAAAATGGCCTGTCATAAATAAAACGACCTAACAAAATCATTTTTCTTTGACAGCATCCGTTTAAACGAAGAAGAACTTCCCCCCTCCCCCCCCCCACTCGTTCCGAGCAGCATCCATTCACCGTCAGGCCCGGACATCCGGCCGTTCCCTGATTCGCCGCGTACCTCCCACTCGCTCTGCTCCATGGTGTAGTTTCGCTCCCGTTTCTCCTTCTTGACCGTGTCAAAGTTGAGCTGCACTGTGAGGGGCTCCATTTTGGTCACGTGGCACGCCTCCACACAGCGCAGGTCCCACTGAGAGAGGGGAGGGGACTGGTCAGCTGAGGGAACCGGTGTGCTTCGCTTCAATCAAGCTACCAGTCGATGAAATAGCTTATAAGATCGCCACACCAAACACGGTTCAGTAAATTGCATCCCATAAATTCATGAAAATGCACAAGAGAAGAGAGCAAATCATTTCTAAGAGCAAGCACGAACCACCAATCACATCTACTTTATCATTCCCACTACCTAGCCCACAACCCTAATTACAATCACCTCCAACATTCCCCATTCCTTCAGACCAGTCTAGGCCATCCCCATTCTCCCGGCCCCCCTGACCTCTGCCACGGTCCTGCCGGCGTCGAGCTCCTTCTCCTTGACGGCGGTGGCCGTGACGGTGAGCATGACGTCCTCCTGGACTCCGGCCCGCACCAGACGCTCAGCCACCACCAGACACACCACCTCCTCTGCAGGATCCAGCGAACAGGGAGATGTAGAGCGGTCGTTAGGAGCACAACTCGCGTAGTTATTACAGTCACGAGTCGACGGGTTGAGCCTTTTTGGTGATTCTATTGTATGATAAAAACCTTCAGTTTGAGTTTCATATTGGTCGAAGCAAGACGTCTTCCAACCCTTGCTATGAAATGACGTTAAAACATAGCGCATGCCTCTGAACCTGAATAACCCTGTAATACCTTATCCATATTCTACACTGCGTTCACTGTTGAAAATTGTCTTCTGAGCCTCCAAACATGCAAGCAGACTTTAAAATTCGCAAACATCAAAAGGCAAAGCATCCATCGGACAAAATGATCGTCAACACATCAGACTTACCCTCCTCCTCCTCCTCCTCCTCCTCCTCCTGGCTGGAGTCGTGCTCCCAGGAGCGGCCGGCGCGGGCCTCCCTGCTCGGGTACAGGCTGGGCTCCGGCGGCGGCTCCGAAGCGGCGGCCGCTCCGTCGGCGGCAGGCGGCGCCGGCGGCCGGTCGGCTCCCGGTGGCGTGCTGCGGGCGGCGCTTGGTGGCGTGGCGCCCGCGCTACCGGTACCGTTCACCGCCCGGGAGGCGGGGCTCTCTGCGGGAGGGAGGGGGTGGTCAGCGAGAGGGAATAGAGAGGGAATAGAGGATGAGGGTGATGATAAGGGAAACAGGGCAGAACACCGGGGAATTGAAAACTGGTGAGCCACCCGAAGAAATACTTAGCAAATGCATCAGTAATGGATGGTCAATGACTATTACGCAATTTCAACAGACTACTTATAGATATAAGATAGTTATATTTGCAGATACCTATCTTAACAATTAGTTATCTGCAATGCTGGACCACAAATAGCATACGGTGATGATAAACACAACTCCTATCACAAATGAGGCTATGACGAGGATGACACATCCCGACCCACATCGTAACCTAGTTTCACAACGAGCACACCTTACGTCACGCGCAAAACCACCGACCGTTCCGCCGACCAGCACACATAATCCTGATAACGGCATGTGTCAAAAACAAAACAAATACTTAACGCTTCCCACAAAGATAACGTGGTTTGGTCATCGTATGAGTCAGTAAGCATCCCAGTCTCGTCCGCTGGGAGCAGCTGACGGCTGTCTCACACACCTCAGTCCCATTTCAGCTTCTTCAACAGCCCTGACAGACTCAAATCACTACCTCACTCCATCGTTTCGGGTTTGTTTTCCATTAAAAGTACCCCTTCCCAGGCACTCAGGGATTTTGCTGCATCGTCGCAAATTATTTGCTGGCCATCATCTCTGTCCTAATCATACCGCTCGACTTACCTTACCTATTTCTTCACGTCTTCTCCGTTTCTTTTACTCATTGCGCTCTACCTTCCTTTCCACCCTTTTCAATTCTCCATTTTTAGCCGTTTTCCTCTAACAGGTCCTGTGCCCTTCATAATCCTTTCCGTCTCCCGTCCCCCTCCCCCCCCCCCCCGTTGTCTCACCGATAGGCACGCTGCCCACACTGAAGGTGGGCGGCGGCTGCGCCGGCAGGCCGAGCAGCTCCTGGACGCGCGCTCCACCGCGGCTGTGCAGCCAGTCGGCTCCCATCTGCTGGCGCAGCGACTCAATGCGCTCCCGGGTCACCAGGTGCGACGGCAGCTCTGTCAACGAGACGGGCGCGGGAGATGAGGGGAGATTAAAAGGGGAACGAACAGAACAGGACGACTACGGAATTGATTATTCACTGGATGACGACGGCTTCAAGTTATGTGCATTGGCCAGTGTGCATTGTGCATTTAACACCCTCGCTATAAAATTACTAGTCAGCTGACAATCAACCCGAGATTTCCGTTGTTCTCTTGCGTACCATTTAACCATCACCGACTGAATATCTCCTCCCTTCTCCAACAAATTGTCACCCAATTCCAAATCCTGTTCCTCCTAACACTTGACCAACAAAGCGAGTGTAACGCATGATCTCAAGCGCGTTATCGCGCATTATAAATCTTCAGCGAGGCACGTACCACTCATGAATCTTAACGGCAAAAGAGAGAGAGAGAGAGAGAGAGAGAGAGAGAGAGAGAGAGAGAGAGAGAGAGAGAGAGAGAGAGAGAGAGAGAGAAGAGAGAGAGAGAGAGAGAGAGAGAGAGAGAGAGAGAGAGAGAGAGAGAGAGAGAGAGAGAGAGAGAGAGAGAGAGAGAGAGAGAGAGAGAGAGAGAGAGAGAGAGAGAGAGAGAGAGAGAGAGAGAGAGAGAGAGAGAGAGAGAGAGAGAGAGAGAGAGAGAGAGGAGAGAGAGAGAGAGAGAGAGAGAGAGAGAGAGGGGCATAGAGCGCGCGCTCCTCACCGCTCTCTGCTGCGCCGCCGCAGGTGTCGGCCGCCTCGGTGACGCCCTCCAGGCTGGAGGCCAGGCCGCCCGTCAGGCTGGCAGTCGAGTCCATATCCGAGATGTCGGCCATGTTGACACGAGAGCGGCGCTTCGAGCGGCGCCGGCCCGCGCGCGGCGTGTCGCCGTTGGACGCTGTCGGGAGGGCGGAGGGAGAGGGCAGAGGGACGGAGGGTCAGCCGCAGAGGGACGGATCAGTTGGGGGGGGGGGGGTAAGTCGCGGACGGAGGGTCAGAGGGACGGAGAGTCAGAGGGACGGAGGGTCAGAGGGACGGAGTAGTCAGCTGGAGACGCAGACCAAGGGTTAGTCGCGATGCTGAGGAGTATTTGAGATTTGGGGGCTACCACTTACCAGATTTCAGAGGTTATAGGCGCCCTATGTCAGTCGTCACCGTGCAATGTCACCAATTGCGGACAATGCAGACTTCCACAATCAAATGATGGCAAAAATATGCGCTCATATAGCAGCTGCTGGTGACGCCAATTTTTATGTTAACTTCATCTCCGTTGAGCGAATGAATAATACTGACACAGATGCCTTCCCATTCACATCCAGCACCAGCCGATATAGCGCAAAGCTTAAGCCTAGCCATCAGAAGTAATTTCCATAACGTAGGTATTGAACAGCTATTGACCCGCCCGCATGCCGTAACACATCCGTCAGCTCCGACTTTCCGCCCCAGCCCAGAGCCAGCTAGGCATTTCCGCGTAACGTAAAGGCCATGGTGGTAGGCATAAATACGAAGACGAGCAGAGTCCAGTGACCAACTAAGTGGGAGCACCATCCAGCGACATTTCCAAACAGGCGGACACGCAACGGTCCAAATACCGACCGAGATAGCGCAGCGACCCAAGCCGCCTTGAAATCACAAAGCCGCTAAGCGGGCGTTGGACAACAATACAGACCCCGATGTCTTATGCCCTCATGTACTGATGATAGCCGTATTCCCCAACACCAATAGAAGGGAATCATGTGTCAAGAGAGCTCACCCTTGTCCCCCGTTCCGATGGAGCCGGCGGCTGAGCGGACCCGCCTACCGGGCTGGCCCGGCGGGCGGCCGAGCCGGGCCGCGGCCGCAGGCGACGGCGGCGGCCCGGCCGAGGCCGTGCTCGAGCTGGGCCGCAGCACGGGCCGCGAGGCCGGCGGGTCGGGCCGGCGCGGCACCTCCGAGCTCTGCAGGCGGCGGCCGTCCAGCAGCAGCTGCCAATGGAGAGAAACAGCGATAGAGACGATTGTACAACGGAAAGGCCTATGTGGACCACGATTTCTGCAGTTTCTAAGATCGGTACAATGGCAGCAGAGTAATTCTTAAAATATACACTCAGTAAACAGGCAAAAACATCGCAGCACAGGCCGGTACCTGATTTACAAATTACGATGCCAGCAAACATAAGGCTTACACTGAAGCGATTCTGTTGTATAATAAACATAAAAATAAGCTTAACCAGCGCAGCAAACCATTCATTCAATGATTAACCCTCGCCCATGTAGGGGGGGAAGGGGTTGGTGCAACCCCCCCCCCCCTGAGGCTTTTCGGAAATAGTGCAAAAACGGCGGCGCGCAGCGCCGCCAAATTTTGGGTACCTTATGGGGCAAACCTTGCATATCTTTTGATAAAAAAAAATTGACCGGGTCATGTCAGGTCACGGAGTTATGACGTCACAAAGGGAACAGCCTCCGGCCGGATTTTCACAAACTGAGTGCCAACGCCCGAGGTTTCCTGCCGGTGGTACGGACATCGGTTGATGGATCGTGATGAAACTTCCCATGTATGTTGGGGCAAGTATTGGCTATCATATGGTATAAGAAACTTGACCGGGTCAGGTCAGGTCACGGAGCTATGACGTCACAAGAGGAACAGCGTCCGGTACTATTTTTGAAAAGCGCCCGAACCATTATTTTGCTAATTCTTGTCACCTCAATGGGAATATGCAGCAATATTAGCTTCTATAGGGAGCAAATGGACCTCCCAAATCCAAAAATACAATCAGATTTCAAAAATTTAAATTTTGATTTTCGAATTTCTGCCGCCGACTGTGACCTTGCCGACTTCCGGCGCTCCCAACGCGCCATTTTTAGAGCTAGGGAAACGAAATACATACCAAACGATAGAGAATTGATCAAGGAACACGATAGTGAAGGTTTCAAGTCGATATCTCCCACCGTTTTGCCGCAATCGCCGCGGAAAGTTGAAAAAAGTATATTTTTCCGAAAATTTGACCTTTGACCGGTCAAAAGTAGGTCAAATGTTGACCTAGGACCAAAAAATATACCACCAATCGCGAGATCTCGGCGAGAGCAATTCGTTGGTCTTTTCCGCTAAGCTCTACGACGCTCCGTTTTCAAACGCCAAGGGGGGGGGGGGTCGCACCAACCCCCCCCCCCCCTGCATGGGCGAAGGTGGCAGATCGCCGTTTACGGGCGAGGGTTAAATAGATATTCTCAGGCATCCCAATATTCACTACTCAACAGAACACACCAAACCGTGAGCCGTCACCATACCTGTCCGGTGAGGCAGTTGTGGTGCAGGTGACGCGCCGTGCGGCGCCGGTGGTCGCTCAGGCAGCACAGCGGGTTTCCGCTCAGCTGGAGGTTCCTCAACCGACGCAGCTCCAGCAGAGGCTGCAGCACGCCGTGGCTCATCAGCAGGTTGTAGCTGAGGTCCAGGTGCTCCAGGGATACCATGTCCTCCAGGCCTGGCAAAGCGCCGCGGACAACGGTCACTACGCATCAAACGGCGCTGGTTTGAAAAAATCGACTGTGCAATGAGCAAACAGGTGATATTGCCTATCAACAACCATATAGGTAATTTAGGAAAGTATGTATCGCATACGAAACAATGCATTTTCTCAAGTATACTCACCTTCCAGAGCCTCGAGTTTGTTTCCGCGCAGGCTGAGCCAGCGGAGCGCCAGATGGGCCGGCATAGAGAGCACAGGCACGGCGGTGAGCGTGTTAGCCGTCAGGTTCAGCCGCTGCAGGCCAGCCAGGCACTCCAGGCCGTCACACACCGCGACTCGGTTGTGGCTCAGGTCCAGGTCGGTGAGGTGGGGCGTCAGCCGGAGCGCGTCCCTGTCGACGGCCGTCAGCCGGCAGCGGGTCACACAGAGCTCGGTCAGCTCCTCCCAGAGGAACGGAGAGCTCTGGTCGGCGCCACAGGCAGCCAGCAGCTGCCACAGCGAGTCGGCGCCGCCGTCACAGCGCAGCGCGCGCAGGTACGGCCGGCGCGCCTGCAGGCCCTCCACCCAGCAGACGGGCACATCCAGCAGCCGCAGCCGCTCCAGCCGGCTGAAGTCGCCCAGCGGCACGGGACTCTCGGCGGGCGGCGAGCCGGCCGTCACGCACAGCGCGCTGGTCAGCTGCGCCAGGTCGCGCAGGAACTGCAGCTCGTGCAGCGTCTCGGTGGCCACCAGGGAGGAGGCGGTGGCCGGCGCGAACTCTCCGCGCACCGGCGCCGGGAACAGAGAGCTGAAGTGGGCGTGCAGCACGCGCAGCGCCGGCGCCGACAGCGTCAGCACCGCGCCGTCGTTGAGGATGCGGTCGCAGCAGTGGCGCAGCGCGGCCGCCGTCTCCCGGATCAGAGCCTGGTCGGTGCTGGACATCCTTCCCGAGCCGGGTGTCGGTTCACACTTGGAGACAGGCAGCCTACGGTGTGGAACATCGGATCTCAAGGCCCTTTGATGGGTGCTTTGTCACTGAAACAGAGTTAAGATGGTAATAACCTATGCTAGCTGCCAAAAAAGGAAAAGCAATAACATTGGGAGCTGCAGTCTGTGACATTATATCCCACAGTGAGAAACATACTAAACTAAAGACTAAAGTCAAGCTGCTGTTGTTGTGGGCATTATTTGACTAAGAACCCTGTCACATGACCACCATGTATAAAAAGAAGCTGAGATAATTAGATAGGTATTGTGTAGGTGATGGCTGATTGGTTCAGGTAAGACAAGGTTTAAATACTTTTTTCAAGTAAGCTACCTATCTTAGGGTTGGAGCTGGCATATCATATTAGTCATAACACACTACAGTGTTGTTCGTGAGAATCGTTCAGTTCACCCGTTCGATACGGAATGTTCGTGCGTGCTCGTAATCGTTCAATCTTTCTCCTACTCGTTCTCTTTCGTCAACCGAAGGACTATAAAATTTTGTTCATATAAGTAAAAGTCTATTCTTGATTGATAGCGAAACGGTTAAAACGGGTAAAAGACGGCGGTCACAGATGCAGCGCAATTTGTCGTTCTCGGCACATCGCTGACGTGAGACCGCGTCGGCCACGTCGTTCACGTGAGGCCGCGTCGGCCACGTCGTAGGTATGACACCGGGCCGTGTCGCACCGGCGGAGTCCCGTTGTATGTACACTGTCGGGCTCCCGTCCCGTCTCAGTCCTCGTGGAACACAACGCGTGGGCATGAGAACCAGTACAGGGGCTGGATGACACAATTGACAAATGTGCGCGCGGCGCGGCGGACCGCCGCGCTCCGAGCGCCGGCCGTCTTCCTATACAGATATCTACAGAAACGTATTTGCTCGCTAACAAGTGTGATCTGATAACAGGGCGCCTGCCCCAAGCCAGAGCAGCAGGTGTCTCAGTCTCAGTGAAAGAATATTACTGAACAAAACACGATCAATCTGTTTGACAAAAACATGTTGTTTCAAAATTCAAATGCCATTTCAAGTGCTTTGATGGAAAGCCAGGACCAATGTCCAATGAAACAAACCCCTATGAGGACTGAGGTATAAGCTGGGTACCTATAAGCTGATGTCTACCCTAATAAATAAATAAGCTCTAAAACATAATTTTTGTCTATTCCTTTAATTTGGCTATTGAACCTACTATACCAGTGTTTATCTTGAACAAAATTATCTTCAAATGTAAGAAACATAAACATATAGATAACAGTCAATAGAAAAGGTTTATTGGACTGTTAAAACAATAGTAAGGGTCTCAGTCTCATGGATTCCATAGCCCTGACCCAAAGACCAGATGCCCAATGACTTACAAACTTTTTATCATAGCAATGTCTGGCAAGAAAAGCAATTTGGTGTGTGCTAGTGGGTAGGTTTCTGTTTCCAGACTTTTTTAGATTAGACACATGACATGTGAAATAATAGGTAAATGTTAAGAAAAAGTCCAATTCACTTTTCAAGCATAAATTTTGCATATTCTTACATTATTTGACATCCTGAATCCAAATATGATGCTTACATGTTGATGTGGCACAAATACAAGAAAAAAAAACATAATCTAGCCTGACCTTGCCTTACCTACCAACCTATAACCTACCAACATACAGCCTACAACCTACAACCTACCAAGGCCATAAAACCACAACCTACTACCTACAATTTCTGTCATTACATATGCATAGCAATTGCGACATGATTGACGATCAGACCTTTAATCCCCAGACAGTATGTGACAATTAGGTTATCTATGAAAAAATAAATGACTAAGCTAAAATATGTCACTTTCAGTCCTGAGACACTAATTGCAGTTGCAATGGCTGTTTCGAAAGTTTCGTGAAAATGCTTAATAGCATTGTGCTTGTGCTGGCGCTGGGCATGTAACTGTAAGTTGGAACTTGAAGCGCTGCATACCTACCGGGCATGTGCGGCCGTGCACTCCTACCTGCCAGGTGTGCGTGCACTCCCACTGATCTGAGTGCACCTCGGGCATGCACATGCCACGTTTTAGCTGCAGTCTGGCTCTGGCCTTGACCTAGATGACCTCCAGCTCCATAGACTTTCCACAATTCATTATGATTACTTTAAATATTGTTTTTCTTAGCTGATCTTGAATTAAGCACGAATCTCAACATTTCAAAGCTAGCTCTAATGCTTTAGCAATATGTAACAAACACTTAAAATTTCACAAAGAGGTGAACATCCTGAGAGAAGACTCAAGAACAGCGCCATAAAAACTAATGCAACTGTCGGCTCCAGAAACAATATAGGTACTGATTCTGATCCCTTCCCCCGAAATTTTTCAGTCCTATGATATACATATCTCACCTCCCATTTATGACAGAACGAAAAACGAGAAAAAATTTCAACAATGCGACGCACTCGGCGCAGGTAGTGACCTCACCAGTCACCACACACTGCAGCGGACAAAAACACACCAAACACACTGACGCCACGGACGCCACGTCAAGGTCTAGAAAAACAGTAAACTCTTGAGTAAACTTGCTTGCGAAATCGAAGGTTTCACAAATTACGTCACGTAAAACACTACTTTCACGTTGCTTTCACGTACGTATATTTCTCAAAGAATCTATACTATAAAGCGATAACTGATTTTTATTTTTTGTATTTGTTATTTTTATCCCCTCTGGAGCCTGTTATCAATTCAATCAAATATATATGCGTAATTCAAAAGACAACGAAACTGCAGGCCTGCTTTTGGGGCTGCGGTCGCTTGGCGGCGCTGTGGATAAGTGGGAAGGTGGCGCTGTAGTCGGGTAGGGTAAGGTGCCTAATTAGCGACCCTTTCCGATTTGCGACCTACCTCCCTACAGAAAAACTGGCAGGAGAAAACGGGGTAAAAATATCGTCAAAAGGTCAGCCATACTTTGGTTATCAAATTAGATTATTTTCCGGTCGTCGATGTTTCTGGTGGGACGTTTCAGGTGAGTTTAAATAAAAATGACGAGTTTCTTATCCAAAACGTGTGTGTTTGGGCCCTCTCTAGTCTCTGATGAAAAGCGATGCACATTAGGATGATGCACCTTTTTTATCCTGAATCGACGTTCCTTCTTCAATTGAATGCCGTTTTCCCATAGCGAATCGCTCAACTGTGCACAGCATGGCGATTAAAAATGTGTCGCAACTCATATTTCCTATTTGCGCCTGACATGGTCGCATATAGCTCAAGAAGGGAAAGAAAGGGGAAAAGAGAGAAATGAAAATGAGGTGTTGCTGAAGCTTGCAATGTGTGGTAGGGGATGCCAAATGTCGTCACCGACTGCAGGGGTGCCGAATTCAGCGCGGACCTCGAATATCATACGAGATAGCCCGCAAAATTTGGGTTTCCGCCTTCTTTTCGCCTTTCGGTGCATCACGTGCAGGGGCTCCGCCACAGGGGGGTACGCGGGGGTCCGGACCCCCTCAATAATTTACCTGGGGGGTACAGTACCCCCCAATATTCCGAAAACTAATAAGCTTGTTTTCGCGTAAGAATGACTAAATAATTCACAGAATGTGTTGAATAATTTAGAATGTGTTGACAGTCGCAAGGCTAAGGAATTTAGAAATGTAAGGAACCCTTAAAATGTTGTGACACATACATGAATCGCTCAACACTCGCCGACCTATATGTACGGGAGTGTCATTATTCTACCATTTCAATTTTGTTGTTACTATGAATGCGTTTAAGATTGCTAAGTTTAGCTAAGCATGCTAGGATTGGGCTATAATTTCGTGAGAGGAGTCCAGCTTGCAGGACACTTAGACACATGAATACCCGCCCCAAAAGCGCTTCAAATCGATCTGAGCATCTTAGTCATGTGAGGTCACCCGATAGTGCTGGGGGAAGGGGGGGCTCCAAGCCGGTCTTTCGAGCACCATACTAGTCTAAACAGCCTCACACCGTTCTGAGGTAAGCTGCAATAATCTGCACATGGCTCTGAATGCAGGCTGGTAGAGATAGGACATCTACAAGTCACAACTCTTACAGGATCCCCATAACCTGATCTTTGATTCAAGTGCAGCGTTTTGATATCCATTTTCAGGTAAAGCTAGGTCACACTCTAATCACAGACTGAATGCCAGTCTCTAAGGACCCCATATTGTTATATGAGGGCAGGGTTTTCAAATCCCTACGACTTCTACCTAAAGCCCTGAGCTTTCCTTTACCTTCTTCCTTGGAGGACCCGACACCGGCCTAAGAGCCTACGGCCTCCATTCCTCAAGAACATTGATTTGAGAGGCCACCATGTCGGTGTCAATGGGCTCCGTTTCTCGGTTTTCGATTCCTTGTGCAAACTGGACCTTGGGTTTTTGGTTTTAAGCAAAATCTTCCCGATAAAATTGTGAAATTTTCTTTGAACTCTAGAAAAAACGGAAACTTATCAATTTCTCGAGCTGTGGGAGGGGGGGGGGGTGAATTCGCCCAAAATGCCCAGTGCCCACCCTGGAACCACCAGCGAGGTTTTGTGTTTTGGGTCGGACCCCCCCAATCCCAAAACCGTGGCGGAGCCCCTGATCACGTGATCAGTTTTTACTTCCGTAAATGTGTTGGATAAACGTTCCTGTTCGAGTGATTGAGTGCTTTGCGTATAGGTTAACTTTTTGAGATCATATTTCATCTTTTCAGGCGTCGCATTTTTTGCCATTTTTAATATGGGTAAACCCATAGACTTATTAGCGACCCTCCCCGGTCGCTAATCGGGAAGAGTTCCCTATTAGCGTTTTTTGCAATGGTTTGCCAAAATGCTCACTACAAATAAGTTAGTGAATATTGGGGCAGAAAATGACTATATTTTAATAGAAAAATGAACGGTCTCTCCGAAAATCATGCCAGTAATACAGTGGCACCCACAGAGCGTGAGCAATGACGGTTCAAATTAAGGGGGTCGCTAATTAGGCACCTTACCCTACCATTGCCAAGCAGCTACCGGGCGAGGTAACTTCGCTGTCCGTACTCCGTTTTTTTTTTTGTATCCGACCCGGGCTTTTGTCGTCAGTAGCACACATTCATACTGGGCTAGTACACTATAATATACACGGCAGTGGTATGAAGCTTTTTTGGCACCCGCTTCCCACGCGGGACATCCTTGATCGCACGTGTTTCCTGTCACGCACCCTGCAGGTGGCACCGCACTATATGTAGTGCGCACGCTGCACTGGGGCTATCCCGATTTCTCGGGCCCGATTGAGGTCAGGGGCTGCTCCGGTCTCCGGGACATGAAGCGAGGCCGTGCCTCGGGACATGTCACCGGACCGAAGGATCTGGTCACCTGGTGACACACGGACTCGGTTTTTGGTAAACCATTTAGCAAAAAAGGCCCCAGAGACGCGAGTTTGGCATCATATTCATCGTGTTTCGCCTAACTCAGGCACATTGAATGGTTAGCGATGCTTTTTGTTTGGGTAACGTCAACTTAAGTTGTTGAGCTCGGGTCAAGGTCAGGTCAGAGCCCATTAGGTCACGAAGTTGATCAAAGGAGGTCATAGCACATGGTATTCGGTTCGGCAAGTCTACCCAAGTCCAGTGCGTGGCTTTCCCGCCACTCTCTCTCTAGCTGAATTTGATCGGGAGTTAATGACGAAAAGCATGACCTAGTGGCGTCATGAATGACGTCACGCAAGGTCAACAATACAAAAGTGAAGCATCGGACCTTGCATGGAGTGCAGTAAATCACGATTCCATGTGCTCACTGCAGAGGTTCACTTATGACGTCATAGGTCAGTGACCTGACCTGAAAAAGCGGTTGGTGTCACAAGATCCGGCTTGAATCAAAGGTCAGCTATGTCAGGCTTCAGTTCTCTATCGCCAGCATGCTTGGAGCCAACTAAATCGGGGTTCGGCCAGGCGGCGGAACGGAGAGGGCACCGGGTCACCGTGCCCCCCTTTGATTTTGGCATTTTAACATTAGCCCTATGGGCGTTGCATGGAAAGAATGGGACCAAAAGTCGGCAGTGCCCCCCCCCCCTTGCTTAAGGTGTTCCGCCGCTACTGGGGTCCGCTACTGGTGACCCCCCTCGGCCAGCGAGATATTGGTCTGAGTGGGCACCCTGGTGAGTCGTCGGGGCAGAGCCCATCAATGGACATGCCACCCAGCCCCTTGACACTCACTGCACCTGGCTACGGGTGTGCTCCTATGCAGTAGCGGCGGTCGCGGAACACCTTCAATTAAAGGGGGCACTGTCGATTTTGGTCCCATTCTTTCCATGCAACGCCCATAGGGCTAATGTTAAAATGCCAAAATTAAAAGGGGGCCACAACCACATTTACCAATTGTAAGCAAGTATATATGAATGTGCTATGTGTATATATGTTGTGGACGCTGAGTAGTGAGTACTTACCAGGAACGTTATCAGGTAAGCAAATCGTCAGTCCGACGAACTTGACCCTGGCGTCTAAAGGGTCTGTCCTTGACACTTCAGGCTTGTCAGGGGCACCAAAGTCCTTCCAGGGACACCACAAACCTGTCAGGGGCACCTACGGCCTTAAAGGGGCGCCACAGGCCCGCCAGGGGCACCACAGGCCTGCCAGGAAGCAGGGGCACCACAGGTCTAGCAAGTATACACGACAGGCCTGTCAGGGGCACAACGGGCCTGTTGGCCCCATGAGCACCCCTAGGGGCAGGGGCACCACAGTCCTTCCAGGGGCACCGCAGGCCTGTGAGGGGCACCAGCGGCCTAGCAGGGGCACCAGTCAACACAGGCCTGCCAGGAGCACCACAGACCTGCCAGGGGCACCAGAGGCCTGCCAGGAGCACCACCGACCTCGAAGGGGTAACTTGGGCCTGTCAGGGTCCAGGGGCACCACGGGCCTGTCGAGAGGCACTTCAGGGTTTTCAGGGGCACCATAGTCCTCTCCGGGCGCAGGGGTAGCAGGGGCACCAGAGGCCTGCCAGGGGCACTGCAGGCCTAGCAAGGGCACCACTGGTCTATCAGGGGCACCACGAGCCTGTCATAGCCAGGCATCTCAGGCTTGTCAAGGCCCAGGGGCACCACAGGTCTGTGATGGGCACCAGCGACCTAGCAGGGGCACCAGTCAACACAGGTCTGCCAGGGGCGCCACAGACCTGCCAGGGGCACCACAGACCTGCCAGGGGCACCAGAGGTCTGCCAGGGACACCACCGGCCTCGCAGAGGCACCTTGGGCCTGTCAGGGACACCACGGGCCTGCCGAGGGGCACTTCAGACTTTTCAGGGGCACCAGTCCTCTCCGGGCGCTGGGGTACCAGCGGCCTAGCAAGGGCACCAGAGGCCTGCCAGGGGCACCAGCGGCCTAGCAAGGGCACCAGAGGCCTGCCAGGGGCACCACAGGCCTAACAAGGGCACCACGGGCCTGTCAGGGGCACCTCAGGCTTGTCAGGGCCCAGGGGCACCACAGTCCTTCCAGGGGCATTACAAGCCTGTCAGGGGCACCAGAGGCCTAGCAAGGGCACCACAGGCCTGCCATGGACACCACAGGCCTGCCAGGGGCACCACCGGCCTTGCAGGGGCGCCTCAGGCCTGTCAGGGGCACCACGTGCCTGCCGGGGACACTTCAGGCTTGTCAGGGGCGTTACAGTCCTGTCAGGGCCCAGGGGCACCAGGCCCGTGGTGTCCCTTCTAGGCCGGTGGTGCCCCTGGCGGTCCTGTGGTGCCCCTTTCAGGACTGTGATACCCCTGATAGGCCGGTGGTGCCCCTGGCAGGTCTTTGGGCCCCCGGGCCTCAAGGGGGGGGGGGGCCATGACCCATGTGACCCCCCCCCCCCCTTGGATCCGCCCCTGACATAAGTTGTCCCAAATTTCAACTTTCTATCTTGATTTTTGACCCCCAATTTGTAAAAAAATAGCTCCAACATGCATAGGGCATGGTGACGTCATAAGTATTTTTGTGAATTAGAGGCACTTCTGAACATCGCATGTGAAAACAAATGGCACCACTAGATTCCTGGGACAAAGCTCGTCTAGAAAAATGCATTTTTATGTCAAAAATAAAAAGTTGAAAAATTGACCTTTTTTCTCAGCCCTCGTTTAGTTATGTAAGGTAAAAACGATTTTTTATACATTCAATGCACACTTATCACGAGCACAGTGACTTGGGGTCACATATAACCATTACAATCGGATTCGGCGTGAAAAATAAGCCATAAAACATGTGTCGCACGCCCATGTAGCAGAAAGCGAAAACCGTGACCTTTCGTGACCTGACCTGACCTTGACCCGTACTTAGTATGACCCCTATACGCACATGGTACCTTCACTAGGTCTTTGAGGTCATTTTTGGTGAGTTTCGAGCAGCAGCTATCGATTCCGCTGTCCGTAAGCCTAACCATGCAAAACCCCAGAATTTGACCTTTGACCTGACCTTGACCCGAAAGTTGACCTCGATCTTAAAATCTTAAGAGTGCTTTGGGAACGCCGCCTCGCGGGGCTCGATGCGACCATTGGTTCACGAGATAACGGGGGGGGGGGGGGTCGGATCCGACCATCCCCCCCCCAGGCTGTCGTGGATACGGACTACGGAAATAGCCCAGGCGGTGCCGGGTTAAGGGGGGGGGGCACTGCCGATTTTTTGTCCCATTCTTTCCATGCAACGACCATAGGGCTAATGTTAAAATGCCAAAATCAAAGGGGACACGGTGCCCTGGTGCCCTCCCCGTTCTGCCGCTTATGAGCTCAATAAATTGTCAAAGAGTTGCTAAGACTCCAAATTTTACTAATTGATTTTTGCCATATACCTAACATTTTTATTGGTAGGTCAAGGTCAGGTGAAGGCCGCTTAAGTCACGAAGCTGGTCGATACCAATACGAGTGTTATCCAATTTGGCGCCCGATAGCTCCTTTTAAGTTTATTCGTGCGTGTCTTTTCTGACACGCCTACTCAATTCGGTCGGCATGTTTTACGAAAATTTAGATTTTTTCGGTCGGGAGTTATTTGATTTGCGAATGGCTCCGCGGTGCCCTACGTGACCCAACTGAAATTGAAAAGTCATACATGATACAGCTATAACGTCTCACGTCGCTCAGCGCTCACGCTCACGTCTTGAGATAGATTCATTCTATAATTTCAAAATAGTATGAGTTCCATTGCGAATTGACTACCTAACGTTCCAATTTCAAAACCGCGGGATCCTTGTCGGGGTTGTTTTGGCAGCGCTCGGGTGGGGCCAGCTCCCTACATACTCGAGTGCCTGCGTTCCCCTCGGTCCCAGCGCCCCACCGCGCCGCCTGTCACAGCGACCTGCCCCCGCCGGCACCCCGCCGCGCGACCCGACCCTCGCACCCCCCCCCCCCATCCGACACCGAATCACATCCATCACCCTTCTACAAGGGACAAACTCACGTTTTTACTAGCGTTTTGTTGTTTCTGCTGGTGCGCGGCTGTCTCGCCGCCGTTGATTGGTCGGCCGGTTGTGTGGCGCGCTCTGATTGGCTGGAGTACCGCCATGAAACACAATCTGCGGGCGGCGCGCGGCGCCCGGCCGCCCGCCGAGTGGACTGGTAAGCGGATTATTTCAGATGGTTCCGAGGCGCGGTGTGGTGTGGGGTGTAGCGCTCCGCGGTGGTGACCGGCGTGCTGCGTGACGCGGACTCTGTGGCGGAAAGGCGCTGACGGGTGAGATGGCGGCCGGTCGGCTGGGCCCGCTGCTGCTGCTACTGCTGGCGGCGGCAGCCTGTCAGGGCTACGACGACAGCGGCACGTGCGAGCCGATCCAGCTGTCCCTCTGCAAGGACCTGGGCTACAACCGGACCCGACTGCCGCCCAACACGGACATCCAGGACGCCGAGCGACAGACGCTCTCCTTCTCGTCGCTAATCCAGTACAAGTGCTCGAGCCGGCTCAACTTCTTCCTGTGCGCAGTGTACGCGCCCATGTGTACCGAGAAGGTGAACGTGCTGATCGGGCCGTGCCGGACGCTCTGCGAGTCCGTCAAGGACCGCTGCCACCCCATCATGTCCAAGCTGGGCTTCGACTGGCCGGAGGCGCTCAACTGCTCCCAGTTTCCTGTGGAGAACAAGGGCTCCAACATGTGCATGGAGGGCCCGCCGGAGACGGCGCCGCACCGTCTGCCGGTGCCGCACCAGCTGCCCGTGCCGCGCTACTCGGTGCCGCACCACGGCCTGCGGCCCAGCTACCACGGGCCGCCGCGCGCCCTCCCCGCCTCGCCCTGCCAGCACTTTGTCCGTCCCAACTTCTACTACTACGTGAACCGGACGGGGCGGTGCGCGCGCGCTTGTAACGCCGATGTGGCCTTCTCGCAGGAGCACAAACAGTTCGCCGACAAGTGGGTGGCCTTCCTGGCCATCCCGTGCCTGGCCTCCACGCTGTTCACGGTGGTCACCTTCCTGCTGGACTCGGCGCACTTCCGCTACCCGGAGCGGGCCATCGTATTCCTCAGCTTGTGCTACAGCCTCACCTCCGCCGGCCACGTGCTGCGCCTGGCCGCCGGCCGGCAGGCCGTCAGCTGCGAGATCGAGCCCCAGTACAACGTACCCGTGCTCATCCAGCAGGGCCTGGGCAACGCGCACTGTGTCATCATGTTCGTGCTGCTGTACTACTTCGGCACGGCCTCCTCCCTTTGGTGAGTGTCCTTAGAGTTATCTTCTGCCCGTCAGGACGAATGTTTGTCCGTTTGCCATGGCCTCTGGTTCCGCCCGCTACTTTCCTGGAACTAGTCAGCTACATTCATTGCATTCATTTGATTCATGTCATTCATTGCATTCGTTTCATTCATTTCATTCATTCACAGAAATCACCGATAAAGAGCCAATTCTGGCTAGGTGCTCGTCCCGTCACGAGATCTTCCCAACTTGTTCGTGGCATTTCTCCTTTTCCTGTTGGCGACCCTCTTCCCATCTCGGCTCGTGTGTTACCGTTTATCACTTCACCTCGCGTGTACTCGCCGCTTCGCCTGGGTACGCTTGTCGTCTGGCGGCCTATGAGCCGGCGCTGTCCCAAAAGGATTTGTGCTGGCGGGATTGCAGGGATTTGCAGGATCTAACGGCATTCTAGGGCGGCCTAACCACGACGACCGAGAGATATACGCCTCCTGTGGGTAACAGGACTGCAGAGAACCCGCAGCTTGGCACTGATGCTCGTTACACTATACACTGTCTCTAAAGCTTTTCGCTTCGCAGGGAAGATAGAAAAGAGCGTTTCACGATTGGTCAATGGTAGGTAATCGTCAAACTAGCTATTGTACCCATGTGTGTGTTTCTATAGGCTCATTGTAAACATACATCTCACTTTTTCTTGGGATAAAGCACGATCCAGATGCCGTAGACCGCAAAAATGGCTTGTGTTCAGTGGTCATCACAACGATAGAGAAATAAAATAGGCGTTTTTGCATGCATAATTACTGCTATTCCCTTGTAACCGGGAGCACATTGACCCTTTTACGCCTCATCTCTCTGCCTTAAATTTGTTGGCAATTATAGCTAAAATTATTCGTAAATATTAGAACCGAAACGGATGTTTATACGCAGCAACATACAGCTAAAGCTGTTCTTTAAAAAAAACGGTAGAAATCGCTGCATTATCAGTTAGCATTCCCGCGGATTAACTGTGTGCTGCCAATGACGAATTGGATCTGTCAGCGACTGACCGTTTGGGCGGGCCTATCCCTTAGCGGAGCACCGAAGTCATTTGTCTTTCTTCCACATATTGATGACAATTGACAGGTGATGTTTATGCAGGTATTTTCACACTTGTCATTAAACGGAACTTGCATTTTCTGTTCGATATACACGGTATTTATATAAGTACGCAAGCGATGAGCGTATAGGTACCGACGTATATCGTGCGATATGTTATCCACGTTGACTTCGCTGGACAGTTGCGATGTTTTAACTCGGGTTTGCATTTTTAATTATTACAGAATCACTGATAGTTTAACTGTTTTTTTTTTTTGCTTGCTTTCGACTGCAGGCCTCTCATTGACCTCGAGGCTCTGCAGTTTACACAAATAGATATGTATTTTTGATATTTGTTCCAAGGGCCCAAGCAGGCACGTAGCTAGGATTTGGCCAAGGGAGGGGCGGAGGAATCCCGGGGGCCTCCTTTCTACAGAGGGCCTCCTCCCTATAAGGGGCCTCCTTTCTACAGAGGGTCTCATGCCTACATAATTGCATATACAACATAATGCAGACTTTTGTTCAGCTTTCATATGGCCAGCGCACTGGTATGTTTCTTTATTCTTACCGCTGTCGCGGTAAAAAACATACGCATATCACAAGTCTCCGAGTGGCATGGCAACTGGCAAAAAAAAAAAACTCGGGCGCCGGCGGCCGGACCGCAGCAGGAGGGGGAGGATCTGCGAGGAATGGGTGGATACTGGATGGCGGTCAGAGAAACACTTGGTGTATTATCATATATCGTTCAAGCGCTTAACCGTATTCCGGGCGGGCTCTGAAAGACTCTGAATCGGGCGGGGGCCTTTTTGGCCCCCGTCAGAACTCGAAAAGCACGAATCGTAGCGACAAACGGCAACGGCGTTTGATAGTTCGTTGAACGACTTACAACTTTTGTAAACAACTTTTTTGGGTCAGGTCAATATTGAGGTCGCCAGAGGTCATAACAAATAACATGGTTTATAACGACCTACATAGATAGGTCAACTTCAAAATCTGACCTAGGAAGGTCACGCTGGGTACCAATCGGCGCGTCATGACCAGGCGAACGGTTTGGTACACTAACAACTATTTAGCCCCATCCATCATGTGGTGATTTATTGGCTACAAACTGTTGATGACCTCACCTCACCTCAGATGATCCTTCCCGGTGCCCCTGTCAGTAAATGCCACCTGGGTGCTTACAGATAAGATAATCTGACGTAATTCAGAAAGAATTGGGTGGTTTTGACTCGTTTTCTCGAAGCAGGACACAGTTCATTATATTTTCCAATAGACTTGTCACGATTCTGACCTGACTGACGTCTGCAAGATTGAAACTATACGGTTATCAATTTTTTATGTGTGAATGAGTCCACGTTTACTTGGTGTAAGTAAAACATGGTTTCGTTAGTAAATTTTCCTAGGTCCAGGTGGTTTGCTTCATTTACGCCGTAGATGAAACAAACAATCGATGGATAGGTATATATTAATTTCCCGGTCAAATAAATTAGTATGAGTTGTGCGAAGCATGGCTATGGGAATATCACCACGGTCTGATAAATGGTTTGGGTAATTGCATCCATCGTAAAAATACCAACACAGCCACAGAGGGTTTCCTCTCTACAGATTGCCTCTTATCTACAGAGGACGTCCTCTCTGCTGAGGGTGTCTTTCTCTCCAGAGGGCCTCCTTTACAGAGGGCATCCTCTCTACAGAGGGCATCCTCTCTACAGAGAGCATCCTCTCTACAGAGGGCCTCCTCTCTAGTCTCTACACTCTACAGGGACCTCCTCTCTACAGAGGGCTTCCTATCTATGTACGGCCTCCTCTCTTCAGAGTCTCGTCTCTACACAGGACCTCCTCTATACCGAGGACCTCATCTCTGCAAAGGGCCTCCTCTCTTCAGAGGGCCTTCACTCTACTGAGGGCCTCCTACCTACAGAGGACCTCCTTTCTACTGAGGGAGTCCTCTTCTACAGAGGGCCTCCTCTCTTCAGACGATCTCCTCTCTACAGAGGGCCTCCTCTGTACAGAGGGCCTCCTTTTTACAGAGTGCCTCTTTTTTACAGAGGGTCTCTTTTTTACAGAGGGCCTCTTTTTTACAGAGGGCCTCTTTTTTACAGAGGGCCTCCTTTTTGCAGAGGGCCCCCTCTCTAACGGGGCCTCCTCTCTACACAGGGCCTCCTACCTCCTCTCTACTGAGGAGTCAGAGGGGCCTTAGCGGTCAGACACAGACACTAGTGGCTATTCACAGGAGATGAGAAGGGCCCTAGCTGTCACTTGTCAGGCTGATCAGAGGGCCCTGATTGTTCTGACGTCATTTTTTAGATTCCCGGATGAATTTCGTTCGCCTCCGACGTGATTTTGGCCAACGTGGTTGGATTCAGGCCGAAAGGATTCAGGCCAACGTGGGCCTTCGGCCCACGTTGGCCTGAATCCTTTCGGGGGGCCTCCTGAAAACCCCAAGGGAGGGGCGGGCGCCCCCTCCGCCCCCCCTTGGCTACGTCCCTGGGCCCAAGGCTAGTGGTGACAAAGGCTTAAAACTTGTCATGGACAGTTTTAAATATTCTCACGAAGATTTGGTCACTGTGTGCATGGTGTCAGGCTGTGTCTAACGGTCCCTGTCCCATGTACAGTCTGTCTTGAAAGTACCGCAGCATGGGCTGCGGCCGCCCGGCGAACTAAAGGTCGGGAGCTCGGTGGTTTGAGAGCCCCAGATCACGTGACGGCAGTGAGCCAGGAGAGAGTGACCGGGCAGGTCGCGTGGGGTGCCGCTCTCCCTTACTCTTTCCACCCCGCTGCGGCGCCTGTCGCCCGGGGGCACGGGCCGTCCGCGAGCACGAGTGGAGAACTTGACCGGCCCGGCCGATCTCTCGGTGACCGGATCACCCTTGGAACCGTTTTATTCTAGACGAAGTCACGAAAAGACAGACGTAGCCAATCTAAAGGATGAGCGCGACTGCTCGCATTGTTATCAGAACATGACACATATTGAACAATAATTTACGGTCATGGAACGGAACAGAATTAAAAAAAAAAAACTAAATAATAATATGAATAACAACATAGAACAATGTCAACGCAGTAGTTTTGTCGAAAATCTCGATGGAGTTTAGATCTGATCGATTGATCCATAACTTAGCATAAAGTAATTTGTTGCGTATTTATTTATGCGAGATAAAAAAGAACTCCCGTTCTCACCACCCTTGTTGAGATTGAAGCACAATAGTATTTAAGAGAAAGCTAATGGAAGTAAGATGGAATGGTAACCTTTTGCTCATAACCCTCGCCGGCACAGGGGGGGGGGGGGTTGATGCAACCCCCCCTAAGGTTTTTCGCGAATAACTCGCGTAAAAAGCGGCCGATCGCGACGAAACTTTCAGTACCCTCGCATTGATCAATTTTACACCTACCCTGAAAATTTCATGACCCTGACCCCAATGACCTTTGACCTGTGACCTCTTTTCTGTGACCATGTTTGGCCGAAATCGCGGTTCGGCGCATGTCGGCTCGCATTAGCCGCGCGTTTGCAAGCTTTTCGTAGTTTCAAATGTTCAAACATGTGATTTGATGTTGCTCCCATGCATTAGGGTGGGTGTCAAGGTCACCTGAAGGTCAGGTCAGGTCATTGACCTTTGGTGACCTCGGGTGACCTCGGTTCACTTTTTCGAGTTTTACATGTTTCTAGGCTAGTTTTTGGAGCTGAATTCGAATTTAGCAACCATTTGAACATTTACGAAGTAGTTTTGGTGCCTTCGTAACATGTTACGAAGCTGTCAGAGGCGGTTGACACGTATTACGAATACCCGTCACAACCCCTACCGGTTGACCTGACCTGACCTGACCCGACCTGGTCTAAATGCTTAAAGACATCATCTATGATCAAAACTAACACGATATTCGTGATCAGCACCCCGGAAAACCACATAGCAGCCACACTTTACGACTTTCTAACAGGTCCCGATTTTCC